CGTTCATTCATGCTAGAGTTTTAGAGGCAAACGATGGTGTCTAAGCAGCTTAACCCCCAAAGATCGGAAGCTCCACCTCCAAATAGTCCGCAAGGCCCGCATCTGCAAGCTCCTAACTGCCGATGAAAACACAGTCAGAAGAGCCGAGGCAGCCACAACATGAACCCCACGCAGTCCTTCTCAAAAGAGGGGACCTTCTTGCCTTCCACAAGCACCTCGTTGTTGCCTGCTCGTTTTTTGAATGGTCCGGTTTCCATGGCGTGCGTCAAAGTTCGGAGGAGGCCTGAACTTGAGCTCTGCGAATTTGAGCCTCCCATCATTCCCAAAGCTGGCAGTGCTGGCAGCTCCGGGAGCCTCAGGCACTTCGCAAGGCTAGGCAAGGGGGTGCAGCACTTGTGTCCACAGGTAAAGGTAATTAGTTGAAACGTCTACAGTGTAGAGCTGGATCCTTGTGGTGAATCACTCGGGGTCACTGAGGTATCTGCCGGTCTTGCTCGGAGGGTTGCAGCCGAAATTGGCGCTGCTGTAGAGAAGCGATCAGCGCCCGCCAAGCCCATTGCAGGAGAGCAAGCGGACTACCCTGGATTCCTGGGAATCCCGAGCTTGCCGAGCTCCAAACCCCGCGCACGACCAGCAGAAAGCCAGCAACACGCAGAATGGGGAGCCCCACCTTGCGTGCCTTTCGCGTCTGGCCCAAGCACAGCCAGAGAAGCAACCAATGGCTCATAGGCCTTGCGGGAGTTTTCGCTTGCGCCTCAGCCTCTGCAACACGTGCCGCAATGGCAGCCTGCTGCACTTGTGCGGTGCTCTCGATCTTCTGGCGCTCGGTCTGATGGTACTCCTCCATGGCTCGCTTTGCCATCGCAGTAAAGCAGGCACTCCGCTGCGTTCGGCCCTCTTCCACGAGGCGCGTTCTTTCAGTGGCACCATGTTGTTTGGCCCGCTCGAGCTCCACCACCGTGGAAGCCTCCAGCCGCTTTATGTCTACCACCTGCCTTGCAACGACAGCAAGCTGCGATGTCCCTTGAACCCCACTGTGCCAGCTCTCATCGGACGCTTGGAGTTGCGAGGTCTCCTTAACCCGTCTGCTCCCTTCGGATGCTTTCAGCTGGGCCAAGCCCCCTCCCACCAAAGGGTCAAACGCATACTGCGCATCTGCGTCATGCAGGCTGCTCGACTCTGTGTCCGGAGTATCCGGGCTACCGGGAATCCCATCCAGGTCGGGCGGGGTGTTCAGCATGGCTCACATGCTTCATCAAAAGGCAGTCCAACAGTTGAAGTTGACGTCATGGAAATTAAGAAGCCAGGCATGATGATGCCAGACTGTGATGCCACAGGGCTAGTTGGCTAGTTATAGCTAGTTGCTACCGACATAATGAAGTTATGCTGCAGGCTGCTGTGCAAAGCTATGCAGGGAGCACTCCATCCAAACTTGATGCTTTTGTAAGCTCCGTGAACCATTCCGGCAATTGCTTTGGTTGACTAGAAGCTTCGAGACATGCAGCACCCATGGCCATGCGATCAAATCCAAGCTGCAATGCATTCCTGCGACATCAGTACGCACAACACAGACATGATGAAGAAAGGATGCCACTGTTGAGGCTCCGGCCCAAGCAAAGTTGCCACCAGAACACCAGTGATCGCAGGTGAGCATCGTCGTGTCGGCTTCCCTACATGTTGCGCAACTTGGCTAAGCAGCTTCTAGCGTATTAATGTACAGTATTTGCAATACTCTTACGAGGTTTCCGAGCTTGAGCATCAGACCAACCATACGTCACTGAAGCCAGCGCACACAGCAGCCGACCATAAGATCTCCGGTCATGTCGCGCAACTCTACTCGGTCGGTCTAGACTGTTGTTGGAGAGTAAGGGTACCTGCTGCTATCCATTCATGCCACGCAACCTGGTCGGTGAAGTACTTCATGTCATGATGTATAAACTTTGCGGAATACACACAATCTGGCCGTCATGACAGCGGGCATCAAAGCATCAAACAGGCCCTGCGACGTCTTGCACAGGATATTACTTGCCAAATCCTCTGTCATCTTCTCGCCGACTGATGACATGATGTGCCTGAGAGACGATCTGTTCACCACAGGGTGCGAGTGCACACAAATCCCAAAGTCCGATCATTTGAAAACGAGCTGCTTGAGGTCTGCCATTTTGATAGAGTCGGGTGGGCTCTCTCGGATCTGCTTCGTGGTCAACTGGCACGGGTTGCGTCTGGCGATGAAAACACTTCAGTGGCGATATAGTGTTGCGATGAGCTGAATATCAGAAGCGGTAAGGCCATTGCGAACTAAGTCCAACACAAGGCCCCAGCACTGAAGTGACATTGCTTGAGGCCGCGCCTTGTCGAAAAAGTACAGCAAGCCAACCTGCTGGGCTCACTGCGAGCGCACGCGCTCTACGGCGCCAACAGGGAAGGCACTAGGCAGTGCTTGCAGACAAGCGCTGGGCGGCAACCTTCATTCCCTCCATTTCCTTGGCCACGTCGCTAGACTTGGTGGCCTGCCCAAGCAATATGGATAAGACAGAGTATACATCACAGTCGGAGGATCCCACCTCAACTGTTTCCATTCTTTTCACATAGGCCAGGAAGTCGGGAAATTGCACGAATGCAGGGTCCTGCAAGGACGCTGATAGCAGCCTTTGCATGTGCAAAGACTGCTTATGAATACATTGACCTGCCATCGGCAAATCATTCACGTCCTCCTACTGCAAAGCCAACCCCGAGTATTAGAAGGAGCCTGCTCTGCTTAACATTGTACGGAACATTTGAGCCTAGAAAGCTCACATTCTTCATAGTGAATTGTAAGGCTTCAGTTCTTGGCGTAGTGCGGAGACAATTCAGCAACAAACTCTACTAAAAGTCAAAAACAAGATAAGACAAAATCAAGTTTAGCCAACACCAAAGACAGCATCAGAAAGCCAAAAGCAGAATTTAAAACCAAGCAAGATGCCAAAGCAAAGTGTGGGCAATCCCAAGAAACCCCACTTCCCGAAGCCCTGCAAACCTTAACCCTAAAACCGAAATCCTTAAAACCTAGATGCCCAAACTCCTACAAACCTACAAACCCTGCACATTTTAACCCTAAAATGCGAAAAGAATCCTATCCCGAAGAACCCAAACCTGCCCTGTGATGGCTAAAACTCGCAAATCGGGCGGCTGCGACGGCGTTTGGTGCGGCCCTTCTGTTGTCTGGTTTGGCTTTTCGATTCCGTCTGTCTACGCCTATGGCCTATGCAGTACTTTTGAATCTGGGTCCGAGTCCACTGTTTAACCTCCTTTCCTGATCTGGTCCAAAACAGGAAAGGCTACCGCCACAGTCGAACACTGGAAGAGCTTTGAAGTTCGGACACATTCTCTCTGCGTAGTCCCCAGAAAACGTACCAAAGGAAGAAACATCGGTTGACGAAGTTCAAGTCCAGTCCGCTCCTGCAAACATTGAGTAGGTGGGGGTACCATGGGTTCACAACCTTTCCGAGCCAAAACACGAGCGAAGGGCCGAATGACGGAGCTACACAGTCGACTACAACAGACAGGCCGGGGGCAATACAGAAACAGAAAGGAAAGGGCCACAGCACCGATGGCCGCGCTGATGCCACAATCGGAAGACAAACGCCTGAAGGTTCGTTTTAAACAGCTCTTGACGTATTAATGAGGAATAAGGAGGGAGGTGCTTATGAACGCATGGAGCTGAGTAGGACGGGTCACAGCTCCTCAAGCTTACAGACTGGCCAAACCTGCCGTAAGAGGGGTGGGGATGAAGACCCGTTGTCTTGCCTGACCTTCTTGCGTTGGGGCCTCGGACTGCACAGCGTCTTGAGGAGCTGCTCTGTGACTGATCTTAGAGTTTCAAGGGGGTAAAGTAAACCTCGGAAAGAAAAACGGACTCCAGACTTCCAGACCAGTTACCCTCCCTAGTCCGCAGTCCCACATTTGCAGCACAGGAGCACCAGCCAAATTGACAACAATAAGATGCAGCACCAGACTTGGCTGCCACTTGCAGAGTGAAATCGATAGCATCTTCAGGATGCCTTCTTCTCTGCCTCGGCCCGGAACTCCCGCAGCTGAGCCTGCAAGACAGCGAAAACCACTCGGAGAGCTGCTAAAGCCAAGTTAAGCGGGCTTTCTTTATTTAATCAAAACCCGATTTACATTAACCGGATCTTATCTCATGCCCACGCCTCAGACGCTGCCAGACCAAGACTGCGCATGACCTGCAAGAATCCACGACACGACATGACGAGAGGCCGAACAAAGCCTGGAGAGCCCACAAGCTCACCTCTAAGATTGGCATCAGCAGAAACGTTCATACAGCGAAGCTAGCTCGGATGCATGATGGCTTCCGATTGGCCAAGGTGCAGTGCCAATCTCCTTAATCTTGATTCCCGAGCCATCCTCGCCAACAACAAGCGAGTTGTGCGAGAGTGGGAATTAAGAGTGTGGTCGAGGCAGGCAAAGCTGGACGAATCAGCTCGGCTAAGCAGGCAATGTGATCAATGTCTCAATGCACACCCAGAAATATTAGACTTGGTATGCCAGCCTGGTCAAAAAGCTTGAAAACTTCCTGTATCTCTTCGTCTGGCACAGCCTTAAAATGCAAGAGCTCCTTCTTGCGGCTGTTGCTGCTGCTGCACAGGCACCAAATGTTTTTGGACCAAGTGCCAAGCCATGGAGCAAGCTGCCTGCAGCGGCAACTGCCGCGGTGGTGACTCGAAAGGCACAAAGTGACAGCAACACGATTGACACGACTGGTGACTGCACTTGAGCCAGCCTGGCTCAAGATCGACGAAGAGTGGCCGTCTCCGCTTGAAGAGCCAAATGAGAACACTGGGATTTTCGGGTCTCAACATGAGCGCTGAGATAAAGCACGGCACCATGCCAAGAGATGTGATTCAATTTTCTGCGTGTCATGCAATCTTTCGACGCAGGCCGTGCTGCAAAAGCATATGAACGCCGCTGCTTCGTGCCATCATGGGATACTTTGCCCAGACTCACTGGGGTGTTCCAGCCTGCCAGGGCGAGAGATCGACCTTTTAAAGTACTCCTCCAAGCCATCGTGTGCTCGCTCCGTTTAACAAACTGCTCTTTCCTTCCTTCCACAGCACATAACCCCACAAGGGGGTAACCCCACAAGGGGGTCGCCCTACTGGGCGTGCTCTAGCGAGTCAATTGGTTGGTCAGTGTGAAAGGATGGGAAGAGGTGGGTGGAAGAATCAGGAAAGATACAGCGAATATTGGCGATATACAGCTGGAAAGGGTTATCGTAAGGTGCAGTGGGTCCTCCCAACCTCTCGACTGTGACCGAAAACGCCCACATTGGGACAAATTGGGGAAAAGGCAAAAACGTGCACCGTTTAGTGCGGATCGAAAGGTAGATCCCGCCCACTAATTAAGACCTTACCCCTCTTGGACACACTACCTATGCGGTGATAGTATAGGATTGGCCCCCATGTCACAGATTTGGTGACCAGGTACCAAGAAAATGCTCTAAGAAAATGCTCTCTCTCTCTCTCTCTCGCAAGCATCGCGTTGCCTCCAAAGCTTGCGATCTCTTCACGGAGCTGAGCGCGCCCAGCACGTCTTTGTTGATGTCGCTCTGAGCCTTGCGATGTGAGCTCGGCTAGAGCTTGAAACAAGGCGCGTAAGTACCGGGGCCCAACAACCTGCGAAGACCTGTGGTGAGCGACTGCTGCCACATTCCGTAAGCATTCCAACATATCTGGAGAGGCCCTGCGTTGCGCTGAAAAAGACGATGCTCGGGGATTCTTTTGCTTCGTTTGGATGCCTGAGCTTTGACGGTGCGAGGGCCCGAGGCCCCAACTCCGGCCTTGTCATGTTTCACCAGACGTGCTCCCTAGGCCTGATCGGCCTGATCCCCTTTCCACCGTATTCCTCCCTGTGTGCCATCCTCCTTCCCTGCTACGAGAAAACTCATTCTGAACCCGACCTGCCTGCGCAGCTTGCAGCATTTCCGCCTTTGCGACTTGCTCCTCAATCGCTGAAAAAACCAGTTGAGAGCAGCACTTGCACATGAACTTCAGGTGGGAACAGGACAATTGCTGGCAGGGGCTCTGGTCCTTCCAAAGCCCCACTCAAACTGTCACTCACCATTTCCGGGCCTCTGCTGCTGCCTGGGCTGCTCGCGCCTGGATCGCATCGGCCTGCGCCTGGAGATCATCCGACAAAGTAAAGAGTCACACACAAAGGTCACAAAGGTCACAAGCTGCCAGAGACCATAGCTGGCCTGTCTCAGCTCTTCCTGCATCTGCTTGACCTCTGTCTGGGCCTGCAGGATACAGGAGGCAAGTGGCCATCTGTCACCATTCCTCTGACTCGGCTTGGCAGGCCTGAGAAACTTGGGCTTTTGCTGTTCGGACAGCAGAAATGGCCTGAACAGTTTTCCGACAGCAGCACCAGGCACGAGCCCTGAGGCCAGCGGGCACTTGAACCGCCTGGTCCTCGACCCTTTGCTCTCTGTCCTGAAGCTGCTTGGCAGCAGCGTCAGCATCCTGCCATTCGGACTGTTTGAAGATTTCAAGCAAGCTTTCAGGCCCTCAGCGAAAGCGCTTGACAGCTTGTCCAGTGCCTTCATCTTCTTTTCTGCCTGCTGTGGTTGCTGTGGTTTCTCTGCATGCTCTTTGCACCTGCCTTCCGAAAATTCAACAACCAACAAAAAAAGTGCCTGCTCCACTTTCTTGTCTGCCAGATCGGCTTCTGCTGTCTGCGATTGGGAAAGGGAGGGCTTCTCTCTCAGGCTTAAGAAAGTCGGGAGTCCAGCAACTGCATCCTAACTGCTGGGTCCCAAGACCGGCAGGGCGTTTTACTTGCGCAAGCAAACAGCCAAAGCAGTCATCACACAACATGATCTTTCACCGTATGGAATGTATGTGTGGAAATTGCATTCGCGCTGCCACTTGCAAGGACCTGAGGATCCGGCCTTGAGTTCTAAATCCTTGGCCTGCTTGGCTTCCTGCACAATGTGCATTCTGATGTCTTCTTGCTTGGCAAAGGGAACGACTACCATTATATCTGGCTAATAAGACAGACCTCAATCTCGAACCACTAGAGTCCACGTCCTGCTGTCTGAGCTCCTGCAACTCCTGTCTCATGGCCATGAACTGCTGCTCCATTGCCTCAGAGGGTGCAGACATGTCTTTGGTGCTTCTTTGCATTGGTTTTGCTCACCTGCGATTGTCCCAACTGGTGCTTCGGTTTCGTGTTTGCATGCTTGGGCTAAGCGGCTAAGCGGCTCAGCGGCTAAGCGTAAGGTCTACAACAGCGTGGGGTTCCTTGATTTCCGCCCGTTCTTTACATGCCCTGAACGCACGTGCATCTGAGCAGACCGCTGCTTGCTCTTGCATCCAGTTCCTTGCATGAGCAGGCAGCTGCAAGACCCACTACACGGCATGCACGGGATGGCAACAGCTCCCACAGACGAGGCAGTCACCCGGCTTGCATCTGCTGCAAACCAAGAGGTTGCTGATAAGGCATTGGCCTCAGGTTCCAGAGTTTTGAATCGCACCTCCCTTCTAAGCTTGGCTCTGCTCAGGCCAGGACATCTGCATTTGTGGCATTGGTCCCCACATTTGTGGGGCTTGCATCATTTGTGGCATTGCATAGGTCGGCTGCGCCATGAGGGGAATCTGCTGCTGGAGAGGGTCTGGCATTGTCTGCGGACCGCGCAGATTGGAGTCTGCTGTGAAAACCTGCTGCGTTGGTGTCTGCTCTGGCATCTGCATCCTTAGGCACCGAGCGGTATTTGGCAAGCATCCGTGAAGCGACTTAGCCTCTGACATGGAAGTTCGGCTGGGCATCTGCAGAGAAGTGGGCTGCAGAAACCTAACATCCGTATCAACACAACACTGCATGTTAGACTCAAAAAAGTACTGACTGGTGTCACGCTTGAGGCACTCTGAGGCATCCGCATCTGCGGCGATTGCATTAGCTGCAGCGCAGCCACTGGGTCTGCGTGAGGCTCAACCTTGGCCATGCAATTTGCTCCCCCATACTCAGGCGCGAAGCTGCAGATTTAGGGCACACGACCTTCGTGGAGTAGAGGGACTGCAAGAGCCCACTCCCGTGTGCCCTGAGCGTTCACAAAGAATACCAAACTCTGGAGACATCCAGGGATCTGCCGGGGATCTGGCGGATCCGGCATCAAGGCCTGGGCCCGGCCTGGGAGAATCTGGAGAACCCATGAGAACCCCCCCCCTTTTTTTCTCCGCACTCTGCCGCTTCTTCCAAACTCCTAGCGGCCCTAGCGCAAACCTCGCCGCTACTAACCCCTTCCTGACTCCTTGAGTCATTGAGGTGCCGGGCCAACACGGAAGAGAGAGAGAGATGCGAAGCAACCTCGGCTCAAGTTAGGGTTCGAGAGACCCATGCTCTTGCATCGGCAGATTCCAGCACGGCCAGTGTGGGATGCTGCTGCCAGGATTCAAAGAAGTCTGTGCCAGTCGCACATAGTCATTCCTCGTAGCACATCTATGCACATTTGGGGGGTTCTTCGAAACGAGGGTCCCCTTGCCTTCGAAGGGAGAACTCGTTCAGAAAAGTTCAAAAAAGGACCACCCCAAACTTTAAAACACAAAAAGAGGACCAACATGGAACAACCCTCGCATACATCCAAGGTGGCGGCGTGGGGAGGCCATGCGTGCCTCAGAGACGCACAGCCAAGCAAAGCCGTTGTTCAACTTGGAAGAACACTCACACAGTTAACAAAGCAATTCTGTGAGGCCGAAGCGATATCAGAATGATAATGCCAGGGGTGATGGCAATGAAAGGAGTAGCCCTTGAGCCGACGAGCACGAAAAACTTTCGCAAGCGGCCCTGGGGCAACGCAAGGATGGCGCAGACAACATGTGTGGGTGTGGACAATGATAGCAATGCCACTGAAGCTCGCAAAAAAAAAAAAAAAAAAAAACATCAACGCCTTCTGTTGAAACGCGCGGGCGGCTTTGCAGCCAGAAAATCGGGTCAATGAAACGCCTGCTCCATCAGGCTTCGCACGCTCCCCAGAACCTACGTCTACCATGCCAGTGAGTTAAAGCCCAGCACTACGATGTGGTGAGTACGATGTCCGAGGTTTAAACAAGCTGTCTTGCCCCCCACCCCCCCACCCCCCCCCAACCCCCCCTCACCCCCCATGATCCTTGCGCAAATTGGCTGGAGCGCTTGATCCCTCCCTGCAGTGCAGTCAGTTGCTAGATAGACTTTCTTCTCCGACTACCAGGTAGAAAGATCGATGTCCTCACGAACTTTCAAACTGACAGCTGTTTCAATCAGATGTCAGGTCCTAAGCCTATGGTGTGTCAGCTCCTTCTATACTATCATATTGCATTGTATCTGGAGTTCGGTATCGGGTGTGGGCACGTCACTGACACTTTGTGCGATGGCGGACAGCTGCCAGGGCAGCTCCGAGCTCGACTCACAGAAGCTCACAGATTGGTGAGTCGATGTGGTCTATGTCGCACTTTGCCTAGCACCAAACTTCGAGACTTCAAACTGGACCCCCCCCCTTAACGCCCCCCTCCAAGCCGCCTTCGGCACTGTCGCTCTTTGGCGGGATCCTCCAAGATGAGCCAGGAATCCACACAGAAAGACGTACGCAGAACCACATGTCATCTTGCTGCCCAGCGGTGCCAGCACTGCACCCGGACACGTCCTCCAAGTACTGGAGGGCATTCAAATATTCAGGAAGATTTTCCTGCCAAGCGTCATGGGTAACTGACACTTTTTTGCATGGCCCAAGCCATTGGAACAACCGGTCATAGAGGTGCGTGTGATACTGTGACGCTTTGAACGCAGCGAGTATGCCCATTCAGTCCAGTTCTCGCTTACGTGCGAGTAGTCCAGGCTTGTCCTGTATCTGACGAGACGCTCAGGCAGGCTTTAGGGTCAGGATCTACCCAGCTCCGGTAGCACATTGCAATCGACAACGTCAACTACACGCATCTGCGAAACATGTCCCAACCTCAGCATCTCTGACATTGAAGCATCATGAAACCCATGAGCCGGTCCTTTTTGGAGGCTGTCCTCATGCTTATGAGGACCTGACAGCACTGAGTGAGCTGAATCCTGCACATACTGCAAACACAATAGCCAGCTGCTCGAACATGGAAACTGCAGGCGTCTCCACTCTGTGCAAGACCGAAGGCAACATGCTCGCAAATCGCAAAGTCTTGACCGTGCCTCTGCTATCTTGCCTGCAACTTCGTCAACTATGCGAGATGCCTGAGTCTGCTCCCTGCTTGCCCACAACAAGACGGAGCAACTGACTGGCTACAGCAGCGAGTTGCTGCACAATTAAACCTCGGATGAGAATGCGATATGCAAATGTCAGCAACTACAAACCAACGAACAAAAATGTCTCTTGTGATATCAAGCCCGATTCATTGGCGGAGTGGTTTATTTCTCGAAAGGTGAAGGGATCATTAGCTTCTTTCACGGGTACGAATCACACTTGTTCCGAAGGCGTGGTCTTTCTTCTTTTTTGGGCCCAGAGATCGAGCACAGCCTCGGCATCAGCTTCTTGCCGTCGTCGTCGCTCGCCGACGGGGTCCTAATGCTGCACGGACATTCACTGCAGGGCGCCGGACTCAACATTGTTCGGCGCAAGGTGCTGGCCTCGAGGTATGCCAAAGCATCCAAGTATTCTGCGCCAGTCTCCTTCCGGACTCCCAGCCCTAAAATAGATCCAAGGGGGCATCTGCAAAAAGCCAATGCAAACTGCACGAGACGAAGTCACAAGACAAAGTGTGCCGGTCCAGTTCGCGCTTTCGAGCCAACAAAGCGGGCTTCTCCTCGGAGTGCTGTTCTGCTAAATCGGCAAGCGGCTCAAGAGGCTAAAAGCGAATGCCGATGAATATCCCCTGCCTTCTTGGAGGCGGTGCGAGTCGCAGCTAAGACCTTTCACTTCCAAAAGTACGGGGGAGTATGCCCAGATTCGAGTCAGCCTTCCAGCCCTCATCGCCACATAGCAATCCCTGAGCCTAGAAACCTCTTTTACACAGGGCCTTGGATTTTCACAGCGAACCATCTGGTTGCTCGAGCCCTAGGGAATTCATATGTGGACCGTCAGTCCTGACGACTTCTCCGCTTTCTCGCCTCCTGGATCTGCGCAGAGGTTTCGTCCACGATCCGCGCTGCCTGTCCGAAAGCTACATGCACTCACTCCACACCTACCTCCAGATGGCATGGCGCAAAGCAAAGCTCGAAAGGAAGCCAAGCACACCAAAGACCAGTGCTGATAATGAAGGATTTTGACGAAGCTCCGCACACGCAAGGCTTGCACCAGAGCACAAGAGCGGAGACATGCTGGAAGCAGGCATGAATTTCCAGCTGCAAGTCAAAAACTATGGGTAGAAAGCGATGCAGACTTGCATGAGGAAATTCCGATGAGCATGCTCTCTTCGAGAAGCTGCCATTGCACCCAGCTTGCACATGTCAAAGACCTTCAGAGAATGCTTCAGGGTCCTGCACCTGATTCAGGTGTGTCGGACCTTCTCTCGGGCGATGGGTTGCTGACCAGAGTTTGGCCAGCAGGTACAACAACATCGATTCTGCAAATTGACTGCACACCTACCCCTTAGGGTCGTCCACAGTACTATCTGTGGTCACAGCCGCGCCGTCTGCTCAGGAAATGTCGACTTTCACATGAGCTCTGCTGGCCCTTGGCAAGAGAGGGGTTTGCTCCACCTAGCAGGCATTGACCCCACGACGTCTGCCGAGCAACGATTCTGCATCATCACGCACCTAGGTCACGTTTTTCAGTAAATCCAGGTTGGTGCTGGACTGATGGCTTTTCACTCAGCAGAATGTGCTGCAAAGCGACGCATCCAGCACTTCTAGAACCTCACACCCCGGGAGACGGCCAGCAGATCCTACTCTTGTGCTGAACAGAGCAAGGCCCTGGCCTGCATGATGTCAGGCCTGATGCAGCTCAGTGCCAGTGCAAACACGCCCGTTGACCAGCAAGCATTAAAATCATCTCTAGTTGGCATCGCGTTATGGAGCCTGTCAGCAGGATTCAGGCAATAGCACGAGTCGCCAATGCTCTTGAGGAGTCGGGAAAGCTCCTTACAGGTCATCTGAAACCGAGTTGATACCTTCGCTCTCTCGAAACTTCTGCAACAGACCGTGACAGCCGTGACAGAGCAGTGCTGCCGGAATGCGCGTTCGACGTGATCGGTTTACGCAGATATTCTGTTTGGGAAAATGTGGAACATTTGTTGCGCGGGCCGCGGCCCTGTTAAAATGCTCGTCCCCAACAAGCCGCGCCTTGCCCCTTCGCCGCAAGCAGCACAAAGTAGGGTAGAGTCTCAGGAACACTCGCAAACCACCTGCAGCCAGGCGTCGCTGCTCTCCTGAGGCCACGTGAGCTTTGGCAGGATGCACTTTCTCATCGTCTTCAGGATATTTGATCTGTCCATTCCGTCGAACGGCTTGACATCCTGATGAGAAAAGCGATCTCAAAAGAGCGCAGGTCCAGCTAGCATGGCTTAGCAGCTTAGTATGGCAGCTCTTGCGCAGGCAAGCAGCTGTCAGAGTGAAACCTTGGCGCATGAATAGCGGGTTTGCAGGCCCCTCAAGGCTTTAGCGATTAAGCGAACGTCAGAAGTGCAGCTGTGAAGCTGAACAAGGCCCCTAAAGAAAAAATATCGGCTGCACATGACCTGGGGAAAGATCCAACTAACCCACATTGTAACTGCAAGAAGCAACCGAAAAGATGATGCCACATGCCTGCCGAAGGAAAGTTAAGCGTGAACATGCTTCTGCAGCACTTCAGCCATCGAAGGGTAAGCACCCTGCGGCGAGCGATTGAGTCCTAAGCTGCATCGGGCGCCATACTGAGGCATGAAAACAGGCAGTCTTCCAGCCCAGTGACCAGTTGCAATCTCCGGCGCCATCCACCTCAAACTTCCGCCCATGGTGTGCTCTGTCTTGTAAAGGAACCTGCGACTTGAACAGTGCGAGCTGTCTGTCGCCCCAACTCCCTTCGACATGCTTCAGTACACGGCCTCGCAAGGCCAAAATCACCCAGCTTGGCTTTTGGCAATAGCAGGTTACCATTCTCCACAAACCTCATACAACAAGGCAGCAACCTGACATACTGCAACAATCTGATGCAGCGAAGGCATGCACTGGAAGGACTGGCAACACAGGTGCCATAGGCTACTACGCGTCACCTTTTGGGGAACTGCGGATACAGTCAAGGCGCCACGACAAGGGTCTTTAGTGCGCAAGCCGCGCCCCCCCCCCCCCCCCCCTTCACTCACCAGTGTGCGACAGAGATGTTCCTGAAGCAGCTGCCACCCCACCCCTCAAATCCGACTGCGACTCAAGTCTCAGACAACGACTTGTTTGCGGGGGATCGGCGACAACCCTGACAATGTTCCCCGGCCAAGGTAGGGGGAGGGTGGGGGGAAGGAGCTGCGACCATGATACTAATGATGACGTGGATCATTGCAAGCACTTGCGAACTGACGATTTCTACTTCACCGCGAAAGAACTTTTGGTACAGTGCGAACGGCACCACTCAACCTTCAGCACATTCCAAGCAACACGTTGGAGCCCTTCAGGTCACCGTGTACCTCAGACACAAGGCACAGTGAGCAGGCTGCACTGGTGCGACAGATTGGCACGTACATCGCAAGAGGCGTGAGGTGCGTTGCAAGCTTGGAAAAGGGGAACATGCAGCTCTTGTCAGGCTTGTTGCAAGGGTTCTGTCTTGCTGATGGAGGTATCGAAGTGCCAGGGAGATGCCCTGCAGGATGTTCAGCTTTCCTGGCTGGTGCACCACAAAGCCTTGAACCGCTGTATTAGGTATACTTTTGTCGCATCCTGTCTCACTACTGGGACATCCCAAGAACTGAGGTCGCCTGCATCACATTCGATCGGGTGTGGCTGAGCCTTTATCCAATCCTGGAGCAAGCTCGCAATGCGCACGATGGTTGGGACAGTGCCAAGAAGCTCAGATGCAGGCATGCAGGGTTTGACCCTCGATGAGTTCGAAGACCAACGCCATGTCATTGGTGGATGGCCTCACATCAGATTTGACAAGGTGCTGGATGGTGCTTGCCAGCCTCTCGAGTAAGGGTGCGGCACAACGTGTGCACCGAGGAATAAGACGATATTGGGGTGGCGTAGCCGACGCAGCGTGCGAAGCTCGTTCAGCAGCGGCAAACTTGGAGCACAGAGTGTTTAGAGCGGGCGCTGGCAGATAGGCACTAGGAGACGCTGCTCATGGCGTCGATTGTCAAGCAGCTGCTCTTTCTTGTCAGACTTGGGCATCTTGATTGCCTTGGCTTTTGAAACCAAGTCAAAGCTAGAAGAGAACCAGTTGCTTCTCCGTTCCAGTACTCCGGCTATCCCAACTCCCACGACAGACAGCATAGCCAGCCTAAAGAAACCTTCTCCAATCCGTCTGAGATGGTATCTGCCCCGAAACCTCCACAAAGTGAAAGCACTCCCCTGCCCTCGGGCGCACTGTGTTTTGTCGTTCTGATTCGACACAACGCTTGTCACAGGCTGTTGCACTGCACAACAGGAGCGCTGTTGTTGACATACCCTACATTCGCAAGGACTATGTTGGTATCTTCCAGCCCGTGGCGCAAAGGAATTGATGACTTCATGGTATCCCTATTGCTTCATCCCCCTTTTCTGCCATGTGGCAACCTGAGCGCCATAGAAGGTGCCTTGGAGGACAGTGCCGAAGGTTCCACTGCCTGCACATCAGCCCGCACAGCCATGGAGTTGAAGCTCGTCAAGCCCATGAACTCGCACAGTCGTTATCTACTCGAAGGCCGCTTCCGTCCCAATGGCCTAAAGTGTGGCTCTCGAACAAACCTGACCACGAAGCTGCGGCAAAAGCAGATCGGCTGCTGCATGCTGCTACCTATTCAAGTTTCTGCTGCCCCATTCTAGCCCAACAGTCGAGCACCCCTATGCTCGACAGGGAAGGTTGGTTTGCACAGCAAAGGATTCTCAACGCGCGAAACGCGAGAAGACTCCAGAAGCAACCCAGGCAGTATGGGCACAGCGGCACAGCCCTAAAGCGAGTAAAGTCTTGGGCCTCTTGAAACTTTGCAAAGAGATCCAGGCTCCGAGGTGTGGCTACCCTTTTGGAGGCGACGGAACTCCCTCCAGTTCTCTAAGACAACGACGCTGCGCTCGCTGCGCGGCTCTGCCTAGATCGCTTTAGGGGAGAAGGCCAGGCCAAGGCTTCCCGGCCCCCCCCCCCCTTTCGCCCCAAACAACAAAAAGGGTAGAAAGAGCAAAAAGCTCAAGCAACACACATCCTTACAATGTTTTCTGACTCTGGCTTCTGTCCGTCACTCCTTCGCACCCCACGTACATGTCTACTGCCTCCTCCGCAGCATTGACTTCCAAGTCTTGCAAGAAAAGAAACCTCTGCATCTGAGGAGCAAAGTTGCTGCGGATCCACGATCCAGTGCTCACGCCGTCCCAGGTCCACCAGCTCTCGAAAGCTCTTGCCCTGACCTGACCCCAGATTGGAATGCAAGAATGCACAGTCTGCATAGTCACCCGTAACCCGTAGCCACATGACCGGTTGGCACCCGAAACCATCCAAGGGACCGTCACACTCCTGCTCCAGTGGAGGTACATCAAAGATGCTGCTGCTCTTGTTCTCCAGCCCTGAGCCAGGACTCATTCAGAGCTACAGCTCAGATGCTTTGGAAAACTGTCCTCCGAGCAGCATGCGCTGCGACCATACACAGTGGAGCAATGACTCCGCCTGCCATCCGGATCTGGCTCCTTGCAGCTTTAGAGATGACGCTGGCATCGTCCGACCCACCAGACTGGACGTCATCCTTGGCAGCACATGCATCTGCCAAAAACATACCATGTGCCAAACCTGGGTACGAATCATAAGCAGCCCAAGTGTCACTTTGAATGAGGCTGTCGTTGTCATTGACACCCGGAAGCGGGGATAGTTGGTTTGGTGACCGCCCGTTCTGTCGGGCACGCGCCTGAAGGATGCATGAGCCGAGCCTTCAGCTGCCTTGCTTTCCAGCCTACAGCTACGACGACTAATTATGACTGTCCTGTGGTGCTCGAGCGTCATCCGCAGGCGGGTGCTCTACCACTTGTGGTACCTTGGGGAAAGCGCACTGGGACCCGCACTCTGCACACTGATGCACACTGCGTTCCAGCAAAGCTTCCAGGCACCTCAAGTCCATGCCGCAAGCATGCCGTAAGCCCTGAGCACTACGGGATCTCATCAAAGCCGAGCGAACACCAACCTTGGTTTCTCATCGCTGAACAACATATGGGAAAAACCTATTGTCTGCATCGCAAAGAGGCTACAGCACTCACACTGGCTTTGCTACTCGGTAGCAACATAACGTGGGATGTCACTTGACGATCGGTTGCTGGAGCGCGTCCTCACGTGGCATGCTTGGCAAAAAAGCAGCTTGAGGCGACAAACTTCTCACGGATTGCGAAAGGTCGTTGTCGTATCTCCAGCATTATGCCGGCAAGGTGCGGGCAACAAGACCATGAACTGCTCTGGCCTGGTAGAGGCGGGTGATTGAGCACTTGCAGTGTGGTGAGTCTTTGCCAGTCTCTTCCAGCCAAGCTGCCACCAACAAGGCGAAAAATCACGAATTCTGCTGGCACATCTCCACCTCCTGCCAGTGGCAATAGCATATTGTTGCAGGTTTCTACAATGTTCTGCACTCCAAGGTACACACGCTTGCGTACTTGTTAGGGCCTTCGCAAACGGTGGCTCGAGCTTGCTCCACCCTGAAGCCGGAAGCTGCATCCACCGATCGGAAGGCCTCAGGGCAAACTCATAAGGGACGCGTGAGACAAGCTGGACGGGACAAGGCCTGAACTGTATCAACAGCAAAGCGCAAAATCAGACGCAAACAGAAGATGGGCCTGTCGGACGTCACGTGTCCCGATGTCGCTGCTCCCGAGACACGCTGCAAGCAGCTGACATACCTAAATGCTTCTGGCAACAGTGCAATGGAGCTAGGTCTGGGAACGGCACACCACACAAGCAAGTGCTCGCGAAGGGCGAGTTACCAACCCGTCCTACTGCAAGCAACATTGCAAGCAAAGAACAGGGTCCTCTCCTCGGCTCCTTCGGGTGCCCTGAGCATCTGCAAGGCATCTGGAGATGGACTTACGCTGGTCCTTAGTCCCATGATGCACCGAGAAGGATCATGAAAATCATGCTCACCTGCGAGTGCATGCAGATCGAGTGCATGCAGATAGAAAATGTTATTCACTTTCCAGCTCACGCGTCCAAGAATGCCCACGAGTCAAAGGCCTTGCATGTTGCAGCAAAAGGCATCCGTCATGGACCTATTGTCTGCAAACATGGCCTCCGTCAAGATCTTCTCTACGAGCTCCTGCTGGCTTGCTTGCACCTTCGAGCACCTGCAGTATATTTTGCCAACGATGTCACTCGAATGATTCAACGATCAAGGCTGCCTGGAGAAGCGGTCGCAGCTGACAAAGCACATCAAGCCAATGTAGGCGCTCACCAAGAGGATAAACACCTTAGCAACCCAGAAAAAAGCCAGCCTACGTGAGTGACGAGCAACACCTGCTGTGCTGGCCAGTTGGCTAGAATCCTTGCTACTCTACTGGTCAACTTCAGTTTTGCAGTGGTCTGAACGTGTGGATGAGCCGAAAGGGCTCGGAGCGGAACACAGCTTGGAAATCGAACTTTCGAAGAAAAAAGAATACTTGAGGCTATTCCAAGCCAGGTGGCTAGCGACCCAGTATAAGGGTGACCTCTGACACGAGAGCAGGATGCGTTCATTTGGCAGAGTCCCGTGTCGGTAAGAAGAACGACGAGTAATGCAACCAAGCATCCGCCCAGAAGAACAACTCCCGCCAACTGCGTAGCTGCGTCAATCAAGCAAGAGCATGTCAGCAGCAACAGGCAGCCTCGGATGAAAACAGAGACTCTCTGAGAGCTTCAGTATTTTCAGCACGAACAACAATGCACGACACCGCATACAACGTTGGGCTGACAAAAGAAGTTTGCAGCTACACTTTGCTGTCACAAATGTCGCAACAGTCTCGCAAATCTTTTCCAAGAGGCGAGAGAATCGCCGCCCGGTCAAAGCCAGAAGCTTGAACCAAACAGAGTGCCTGTGTTTGTTGACCGCAAGAAAACTTCCGACCCAGCCAATGCCTCATGCAGCCAAGTCACCAAGTTAGGCTCAATGTTCGATGCGTGGCATCAGCTATGGTGAGCGGGAGGAACATAAACCTTGGCACCCGACGCCCGAAGCGTTGACTCACTGGCACCTACTTTCTCGACAAACAGCAACCACCATGCCGAACCATGGGGCACGTTCTGCTTCTTTCGTTGTGGCTTTCTCGGGGCATGGGGGAATGTCCAGCACTGCCTATGACATTGCGGTACAAGACCAGCGTGACGTGTGACGTCACAGTGCAAGGCTCGGCCTTCTGCCCAGGTTACCCTCATTCTTCTGCGCCATATCCTATTCTTTCGGGGGGCAAATGGGCGAGCTTTGTTTGGGGGGGGGGGGGGGAGTCTCCACCCAACGAAGACCCCCGACTATTGATCTTATGTCTTTATAAGTTTCCTGTTTACTTGCGATCCTTGGATGAAAGCGTTTGCCTTTCTCGTATGCAAAACAACAACGCAAACTATCTAGCCAGTTGATAAACATACAAGCCCGAACCCGGCTGATCCGGCATAAGCTGATGAAGGGAGACTCCTCTGCAGTAAGAATCATTCCAAGGGTGTGTCTGTGTGTGTCTGTGTGTGTGTTTGCAAGCATCTATCGGCCGCTAAGTCACATCCCATTCAGGACCAGGACCTCTGGAGCAGGGGCACAAACCCACAGAGGATTATGCAAGCTAATGTTTACATGCTTAAGACTTGCATTCGGATGCATCCAAATCGAAACCGGATTGGGGATGAATGCATGAGCGTCGGCCTGGAATACGAAAAATCGCTCCAGGCAGTCCTTGGCTTGAGAGGCTTTGCTCTGCACGGTTGCCTTTGCAAGGATTCACATCTATTTGCCGCAGAGACCAACAACTCACTATAAACTACAAAGCAGTGTTTCGCAGGCACGCTTGCAGATGCCACTCTCTTGTGCCTCTTGTGCACTAGGCCCTTCCTTGCATGGCCACGTCTCGAAGCTAATCTTGGGATAGAGGCAGAAAGACGATATCGTTGCAATGAGGCACCTCAGAAAATCCACCCAAGCAGCCAGAGGCTCGAGGCGGCTCAATGCGAAGGGAGGAGCACAAACGGCACTCGACTCCGAGGCTTCGTGAGGCTTCGTGAACTTTTCGTGAGGCTTCGTGAGGCCGCTGAGGGCTTCGCTGTCACATCCCGAGGACCGGGCACTGTGCTAACAGCCACGGTGGCCGCAACAGCGTCGAGGTTGTCCTCGTCTAGCTGGAAGATGGCACCTCTGCACCACATGCAACAGAGGCTTAACAGCTAAAAACACTCATGGCAGCAAGGAGTAGCTGAGAACTCTAAGAGCAGTCAAAACGAGCACTTCAGTGCGGACCAGAGAGCTTGCCAGTCCGATAGAGCATGTTCCACAGGATATCCGAAACCAAAGAGCGAACAACTCGCCGTGTTGGCGACTGACCTCACGTGAGCACTTCCAACCCCAGCTCACATTAGCTCACAAACGCCCCCTGCCATAGGACTTAAGGTGTCGTCGCACGAGTTCGGGCAAGTGTCTTGCTCTGAGTGGAGCCGCTCTGTTGCGCCATTTGCCCATCCTCGCAGTACGTGTACACTTTGATACAGCATTGTGGGCATTGATGGTCAGGGGCGTCCGTCAGCCATGTAATCACAGCAGTCGTTCAGTGAAGGTGCGAACGCATTTTTGGTTTCAAGACATTACGGCCCACAGGAGACCCGGATTGCCGTAAGCAGCGACTCCACATGTCTGGCAAGCTTCGCGTGGTGAAGCTTCCAGTGCCGGCCTGATGCCTGCGCAGGTCATGAGTCCCAAAGGCAACAGAAAGCAGTACAGCCTCAGAACGAACTGGGGATGAACTGGCTGGGGGCAGAACTGGGTGAACTGTCTTGCAATGCAACTCCACCCCATTCTTGACTGCTGAGCTGCAACGTTGGAAGAATCTTGGGATCCGTCGGCGCTGGCGGACCATTTGAGGGCGCAATCCGCATTATGCCGCTTGAGGCGACTTGACAAAACCGGCTGTACAAAGCAGGGACGACTGTTACGCGTACACAGATGCCCCTAAGCGCCACGCGCATAGGCCGCGAAGCATATGAAGCTCAGTTTAATCTCGTTTTGATGCGAATAGTGCTTGAAGCATTTGAATCGGCTAAGCAAGTGCCCTCTGAGCCGGCCATGGCTCACAATGTGCAGCTATGTTGTTCAGCGTGTGCAGGGGTGACCAAAGGTGTGGCTACAGGTGTGATCACAGATGTCAAACCGCCCAGCTCAAAAAAACAGTGGCCTCGTCCCAGTCTTCATCTAACTCGTCTTCCTCCTCACCCTCCTCTTCCTCACATTCTTCACCCTCCTCCTCCTCTTCCAAAAAGGGCAAGAGGCTACAGACCTGTTCACTGTGTAGCTCTGCCTTAGAACAAGCTGAATGTGCATTGTGTCCTCTGAAACCGGAGCAACATCCTCCACCTTCTCCTCCACCTTCTCCTTCTGCTCTTCCGCTGGCCTTAGCACATCTTAGCGACCCGCCATTGCACGGAAATAAGGGGGCCATATGCAGCCCATCAACGCAAAGCAAGGAAAGCAAGGCAAGAGCCTTGACATGCCTTGACAAGAGCAGCTAGACAAGGTCGGCTGGAATGCATAAACGATTCATAAACGCGTCATTACACATCGAAACGTTCAAAGCCGCTGGGAAGCGCAGGAACACTTTGCATGAGGTAGCACGAAGCTGTATGAAGCCATGCTGCTCGGTCTCCGCCTCCTTGACCTCCCCGCTGTGAAAGGTTTCAGGAAGCTGCGCATTGTCCAGATGCGCGACACCTGTCTGAGGATTCGAGCGGTTGAGATGTCCTTCTTCACGCACATCTGCATCGGCTTGCGCATCCGTCATGGACCTCGCATCCGCGAGTGACTGAATATCGCCCAGCACCTGCCGCTCATGCACAGAGTCTTGCAACTCCTTCTCCGGAACAGACTCCAAGAGAGTCGTCCCTTCTCCAGGGGACAGTTGTGCAGTATCTCTGGGCTCTTCGACATCCGCCGATTGAGAACCGGCGGCAGCATCTCTTTCGGCAATGGCGCTCCGACCCAACGCCAGGTCGTCTGACAGAGCTTCTTCTTCTTCTGCCTGCACATTGCTGATTTCTGCAGAACCCGCCGCAGGGAGATCGCCCTTCGATGGCTCAGCATGACCTGGCCCTTCTAGAGGTAACGGTTGCGCAGTGTCTGCATAACCGGCGGCAAGAAGATCGCCGGTCGATGGCTCAGCATGAGCATCGTGAGCTGTCCCTTCTGTAGGAGACAGTTGTGCAATATCTCTGGGCTCTTCGAGGTCGTCTGCCAGAGCTTCTTCTTCTGCCTGCACATTGCTGATTTTTGCAGAACCCGATGGCTCAGCATGACCTGGCCCTTCTAGAGGGGACAGTTGCGCAGTGTCTGCATAACCGGCGGCAAGAAGATCGCCGGTCGATGGCTCAGCATGAGCATCGTGAGCGGTCCCTTCTGCAGGAGACAGGTGTGCAGTATCTCTGGGCTCTTCGACATCCGCCGATTGAGAACCGGCGGCAGCATCTCTTTCGGCGTCGTCTGCCAAAGCTTCTTCTTCTGCTGCCTGCACATTGCTGGTTTCTGCAGAACCCTCCGCAGGGAGATCGCCCTTCGATGGCTCAGCATGACCTGGCCCTTCTAGAGGGGACAGTTGCGCAGTGTCTGCATAACCGGCGGCAAGAAGATCGCCGGTCGATGGCTCAGCATGAGCATCGTGAGCGGTCCCTTCTGCAGGAGACAGGTGTGCAGTATCTCTGGGCTCTTCGACATCCGCCGATTGAGAACCGGCGGCAGCATCTCTTTCGGCGTCGTCTGCCAGAGCTTCTTCTTCTGCTGCCTGCACATTGCTGGTTTCTGCAGAACCCTCCGCAGGGAGATCGCCCTTCGATGGCTCAGCATGACCTGGCCCTTCTAGAGGGGACAGTGGCGCAGTGTCTGGCGCCACTTCTGCATATCCGGCGGCAGGGAAATCGCCTGTCGAAAGCTCAGCAGGAGCTGTCCCTTCTGCGGAAGACAAAAGTACAGTACCTCTCTGTTCTGCAACATCTTCCTTAGTGTCATCATCAGCACGGGATGAGTCCCTTGCCGAAGTCGTGCCAGCACTCTCACCCCTTTGTTGGGCTATGTCCATTGCACTGCTGCTGGCAACATGATCTGGGCCAGTCTCATACAAAAGACCGGCACTTCCTTCATCCGTGTCCTCCCCCAAGTGGTGATGCGCGCTGGTCTGGGATTCTTCCGCCGTCTGGTCTCCCATATGCGTTGTGTTGTCCACGTTGGTATCATCTTCACGCGGTCCATCTCGGCGTAACTCACTCTGAGTCACAGCATCCTCTTCCGCACCGGTTTCCACGCGGCAGTCAAGTTCTGATTGCGCTGCTTCCGTCTGCAATCTGGAACCCTTTTCCTGAGAAGCTTCCCTCTCCTCATCGGCCTCCGAAACAGGGGTCTCGTTTTCTGCCACACCCTCCAGAACTCTTGCCGGTGGAGCTTGATCGCTTGTCACGCCCTCGTCCTCCATTTCATCGAGAGCATGCAAGAATTGGTTCACCCCGCTGGCACTTTGCTCGGCATCCTCGGCATCGGTATCAGGCACAGGAGGCTGTACGTCGAGCACTTCGTCGGAAGCCTCGGTGTCAATGCCAGCGTCATCCTGCCAAGGCAGGGCTGACCCCCAGAGAATCAGCCCATCAACAATTCCACACCTGCATTTAGGCAGATACCGAACAACAGCATACAAACTCATCAACGCATACCAACGCTGCAAACCATACGAACATACACATATTGGTCCATGCCCTCGAATGGGCGGCTGAGCAACCTCAGTTCATCTGATATGACCGTGCAAATCAACGAGACACCAAGCAGCCAAGCCAGGGAACCAGACAACCAAATCTTGGACGCAAGAAAGGAAGACGCTGGTACCCTCAGAACCATGTCCTTGTCCTGCATACTTTCATCCCGCTCGCCGATGAGCCTGGACACAGCACGCCTACGACACCGACACAAGAGCACAGGTAGCCAGGAACAGAGCGCCCTCAAGGCCCTAAAGGCCCTAAAGGCCCCAAGGCCTTTCAATCTCCCACCCTCTCCTCCCAAACCTGGGCAAGCTCCACGCAGATGAAGAAATCAAAGTCAGGGCAGGTTCTCTGAGGCTGGAACTCATTGTTCTCATCTGGGAAGGTGGCCAGGAGGCGCTGAGCATGCAGACATGTCCAGACAACATGAACACTCCACATTAGATCCGCTTCTCTGCACCCATGAGGAAAGGAACCAGAGCAACAAACAGCTTCTGGGCCAAGGGCGACCATGTCGAAGACGCCGCTCAAGTCTGCAGAAAAGCCATACCTAAGGCGACGATTCTTGCACGACACAGGAACAAACAAAGGATCCTCTTGGGCCGAGGCTTGGGAATGACTCTGGTCTGCACCTCAGCTTCCCCCTTCATCTCGTGAGAAGTTGAGTCGGGGAAGCTGAGAAAATGACTGAAAGAACCAGCTTCCTCCTTTCCACGTAGAAGGTGGCTCCCCCATCTGGGAACCTTGCCTGCAAAAAACTGTCTCAAGAAAGCAGTGAGCTCTTACCCTGGAACTCACGTGCAACATATTTGCGACGCTTCGCGCTTGCAGCACTTGCCATTCAAAGAGGTGGCTGCTGCGGCTCTAGGTTCATGAACTCGGAATTGAGGGCTCAAGCTTCGGGTGTTAGGCTTCACCGTGCGCGTAAGAATGTAGAAAAGGCGAGGTGTTCTGGGGGGCGCTTGTCAAGCAGACTCAGGAGCATCTTTTGACCTAAAAGTGCGGTTGTTGCCTTGGTGATATGTAGTGAGCCTTAAAGGCACATTGCAAAGCGACTCAGTCACGCTCGTCTTGACGTATCATGTAATCAGTTAAAGGTTAGCGTGTGCCTTTGCGACAGCTTTCATACCCTGCTGCTCAACCGCCAACTCAGCAGCTAGGGCTGAAGAAGTTTCGCGAACAAACATACCCTCGCGAAGTTAAGACCAGAATCCAGTTTACATAAGACAGCACAGAATTGCTAATTCCGACTTTCTCCGTGAAACGATAACACCATGACACGTGACACTGAGTGCTAAGTCTCGCTGGTTTATCGTTCTTTCCCAAGCTGCAGCCTTCCAGCAAAGCTTACCGGTAGTTTGCTGATGATGTGGAAGGGTTAACAGCCAACAGCCAAGCATGCACGTTCACCAGAGCAGCAGACATCAACACGTCCTGCCTGAAGCTCCCGGAATCGTCCCTGGAAGTCGTCAGACCGGAACCTGCTGAAACTCCCTCGAGGACTCTTCTCTAACGGTTGGAGACCGGGCTTAGACGCCTACGTGGAGCACACATCGCACGAATTTGCGAGGCGAACCCAATGTAACTCGTGACATTCAAGCTGTGAAACGCAGAGCAGCGTGCTCACGTTTACGTTTGTTCCCAAGTCTTGTATGAAGTTATTTGTGTTATTTGTGGACTTCCTGGCAAGCATTGGTAGGTCAAGGCCGATGCCCTTCGAGCAACTCGGTCTGGAGGTCGACCGCTTGCTGCCTCCAAGCTGGCACTCCAGTGCTGTTGCTCTGAGCAAACTTCAGCAAGAAGTGCAAGGCCGACTCTACTCTGCCTTGTGAGGTTGACTTTCGTCGCGCCATTCACCTTCAGGTTCGGGTGAGGACTTCGAATGTCATTGCGCGCAACGTGCAAAAGGGAGGCTGCGACGACTGCCTGATTAGATGGAAGGTCAGCACCTGGTTCTCCAAAGACCCCACATGCCCTGAAACTGCTTGCGACGGACCGACCAGGGGCGCAGCCGAGAAATAGCAAGCGCCGGCGTTTGCCTAGCTTCTCAGTGTCCTCAGCTAGGGTTCAAGAATGCAATGGTGCAGCGTGAACTGCGCAGATCAACAACCAAGGCTTTTGACATCGTCATGCCATTGAAAAACATTCCCCATTTTTTAACTGTTGTGTAGAGCCAAATTAACCAGATAACTATGCCATTGCAACACATTGGCAATCAAATCAAGCATGGGATGGTACATTCATCCCGTCTTATATATCGCATACACGTCTTGGCTGTGGCTGCAGTGCTTCGAGCTTGCAGAGTTTTCTGCTCATTGACAAAAACCATGAAGTACCACTCCTGAGTCGTAGAGGAAACTAGTTTTGTGCATGAGTTTCGTTCAGACAACATGCAGACTTCAGGGCAAACTCGAAGGGGACTGTCAACGTCCTGCTCCTTTCAAAGCACACGTAGCCTCCAGGTCCTGCAAACGGCGCTGCTATCTTCTTGCTATTTTTGTCGGCTGCCAAACTCCCATGTTTCGTTTATGTAGGTGGATGTAGCTAACCTTTGGCACTGTTTCGCTTCCTTTGACGTATTGCCAACCTCCAACACTTTTGCTGGTCTAGGTGTAATGTTCGGTAAGAACGCATTTGATAGCCTTCATTCTTGCATATTACCTCCTCGGCGTCCTTCAAATTCTTGAGAGAATGTCCTCCGTAAGCGTCAACTTCCAAAGCAACAGTGACACGCCTTGAGCTTCGTTTTTGGATGAGCCCTGCTGATGCAGAAGTTGCTTCAAAAGCAATATCTGCAGTCCTACGATGGGCAAAAAACTGCGTCACGGCCTAGCGGGACGGTACTGAAAGCAAATCCGTGCCAATAACAATGAAAACACATCATCGGGAATGCAATGGTGCGCTCGTGATAAGCAAGTATTGCTGGAAACGTATTGAACTCAACTTCTCTTTTGACAGCGTTCTTCATGAAACATGCTGTGTAGTTGATGCAAGGGCCCGAATACCCAAATGCCAGTTCACGTTCGTTGCTGATCTGGACTACTTGTACTCAGTGAATGGGGCACTTGCAGTACTGAGCGACAAGAAGCCCACGTTCAAAAAGCAATGTGTTGTGTGCGGGCACTCTGCGGCCATAATTGTGTATACATCAAGCTGAGGTGATGTTGTGCGATTCGCTGGCGTTCGGACGTCACACCCAGGCGCGGACCCTGAAGGAAGTGAAGGCACCCCCTCGCCGAGATTCAACCTCACGAGACGAGCAACGCACCTACCCATGAAGTCGCCACATTGGCCACTGATGAAACTGGCATGGCGAGTCACTTGGTCCACACCCTCTTCTTTAAGAGTCCCCATTGCCCTTCCCCCTCCCCTTCCTCACTCTCAGCCGGCTTGTTGCACCTCTCCTAAGATTCGAACCAGTCTGCCAGTTCGTCTGACCTCCTCACTTCCAACCTTGGCTTGAACTCACTGGAGAACATATGAACATTTGAGAACCGTGGCAGGCATCTCTTCATCTCTTGCAGGTCTGAACGAGAGGGCGAGAAAGGACGCACGTTGCCTCGCACCTCTTTCTTGTCCAGATGGTATGATAACCAACATGCCCGTCAACGACGGATCCTAGGTTCCCTAATGTGCCTGACCCCTTCGGGATCAAACCACTCTAGTTGCTATTCTGCCTAAGTTTGGAAGCCTTGCCATCAAGGTGAAACGATTCTCGGCAGGACTCCAAGTCGACGCTCGACCCACACCTGCACTTGTCTCCATCTTCACACAGAGACATCCTCCCACCACGCAGGTCAACAATTCCGGATGCCAATGCTGTTGGAAACGTGCACTCATCTCCCACACACCATCTAGGCCGCGAACTGCGTGCATGTACTGCCAAGCAAACCATGTTCACATGAACGTCTCCAACGCAACACCTTGGGTGCTTTCGGCTAAGGTCGCCAGTGCAGCTTCTGCTAGACCACAGCAGCTGCACCGAATTTAGAGCTTCTTGCTCTGCAAAATGTTCTGCGATGTGAAGGACATCTCTGGCAATCATAAGATATCAAGCCTACGTCTAGAATAATGCTGTGTACCGAAAAATTCGACCTCCTCTCCACAGAACACTGCGAAAAGGTTCTTGGTGCATGTCAACCATGCCCACAGGGAAAGTTAAGAGAGTCCCCGCATAGGGAGGCATAACGTCCGTGGGCTGAACCTGCGCAAACTTTATCTGATAGAAAAGGAAACTAAACGGTCAAATCATGTGACAGCGCACTGGAGGGGCAGTGGCCATCAAAGCTCCAAAGCCCCAAGGTCTCTGGAGTATCATCGATTCGCTCGAGACGACTCGAGACACAATGGCATCACCGCCGTGAAGGGCTACTGAAAGACACTTGTCTTGGCCCTGCTCAAAGCATGCGATCTGGTTTTCGAGACTTGCCTCGCGTGATTCATAGTTCTTCCACTGCAAGCAACTGACGCGGTTGGCTGCATGATATTGCCTCCAACCCTGCACGAAACAGTCAGGCTCTAGTGTAAACGAAGCAGGATGACTATGTCGCTCATCCAATGCTGCACGTCATCAAGATCAGAACATGACCAAGCACACCAAGGCCCCCAAGAAAGAAGCTTCCACATGTCTAGCGCCTCTAAGATGCTGCACACAAGAACCCCAAAAAACAACCATACACGTCGGCAACCCTAACCTTCTGCAACTGGCCTTGGCTTGACAAGCAGCGTACAGTCGCTCTCCTCCAACCTGTTCCACAGCATGTAGAGAATTTGTAAGACGCCATGTAGACATCTTGTAAAAGCGTGTAAAAGAAGTCCATGTCAATGCGTCATGCCACCATTGTCCGGAGGTGCAGCTGAGGTGCTGCATTAGCAGGGTCCCCTTCCGCGTTCCTGGACCCACGATTTTGCCGTGGAGGTTTTTATGCTCGTCGTGCTCGTTGGCATGCAGGGCCTCATCTACCAAAAAAGCAAAAAGAGGCTTCAGCGGGTGAGGCTGGGGGTGAATAACTAACCGAGCCCCGCTATCAGTGTCGTCTGATGCACCCTTGGAACCTTGGAAGATTAGAACCCTCAGAAGCTCGAACCATCGTTCCTCTGCTTCTTCTTCTTCTGGGGACTTCTCTGCCATGACAGGACCGTTGGGGCACTGCGATTCAAAACCCAAGCGCCTCCAAGGGAGCCTTCGCCTATTGCTCCAGATGTGCTACATGAGTCCAAAGATGTCCAAAGCTTGATGAGCACTAGATGCAGGCTTCACAGCTCGCATAAGCTTGCTAGTGCTCCCGTCATACAGTCTTGCGTAGCTCTGCACAGAAAAACCGTTCTACATCCTTGGGGTTTTAGAGACACAGAGAGATGGCGTATGCACGTGTATGCACCACCCCGGCTAGGCTCTTTGGTTCCTTGACGCCGCTTGTCTTGACACTTGGCTTTCTGAGGAAGGCACGCGATTGGACATGCACAAGTGAAGTCGCACCCGATCACCAGCTTCGAAATTGTATAACCTCGGCCACTTCACGAAATGCAGACAGATGCAAGTGTCTCTACCGCAGTTTTAACTTGTGACCAAGAGCTTCACTGACTGCGTTTTACTCGCAAGATCTTGTTGTTCGAACGATGCGGCTTGGGAATAAACTTTGTCAAGTCGTCTGGTCAAACGACGAAGACTTGAAAGGATGCCAGGGTTTCTAACAGGTTTGGTAACAGGACTCGGTCCCAGGGCTCGCGAGTGCTGCTCAGGATTCTCTTCGGGGGCCTCCGGATGCACACTTCTTTGAGCCAAGAAGATCAAGGACTTGATAGCCAGGTGATAGGGGAACGGGATTTTCCTTTGGACACCAGAACCCAGGGGAGGCGAGCGCCTAAACCCTGTTTGCCGGCGTTAACGTAAGGGCATCAAGAGCCAGCCCAGTTGCGGATCTTTCTTCTTGCCAGCATCGCTGGGGACCTGTCCATATTGGGAGGGGGCCCTCTACTCTGCCAAGGCCAAGAACTCAGCAAAGAACTGCAGGCTGAGGTGCAAAGTCGCTGGGAAGCAACGCTTCCTGAGACTTCAGCCTGAATGCAAAAGCTGCAAAAGGGCGCAACACCTTTCTGAAGAAGTCTTCAATGTCGTCTGCGAAAAAAACAAGCACACAAATCAGTGCTGCCAAGGTAGTGCCAGACATGTTGCAAGCTGCTAGACTTAGTAAAAAGCAAGACTGATGATCCAAGCAGCAGGTGATAGAATTCGGCGAAATCCTTGCTAGGAAGGGGAATGCAGCACACTTCCGGAATGGCCTTCATTGGCTTGCTCGCTTTAGATATGGAGATGCTGAAATTTGTCCCACTGCACTTCTGCTCCGAGCAGCGATGGTGCCGCTGCCGTCCGCATCGAAAATTCGCAGGATTCCGTCGAGCTCGGTGGTTGTCAGGTCGACACCCAACTTGCGCAGGGCGCCCTGCAGAATCAAAGGCTAGAACATTCAGGTTGATCCAAGGCTAGAACATTCAGGTTTTGGCAGCTGCTTTGCAGCTTCGAAAGAATCGTGACTAGCCTCACTTGCACTAAAGCGCACTAGTTTCTTGCAATGCACCTAGTCTCGGGCTGTGTACCGGTGTGGTGGCCAGTGCCGGCTCTACCACTGGAAGGTTACTCCGATAAAGAGTTCAGGCATCCGTCCCAAAAGGAGCCACTGCACCCCACTTCGGCTGTCTCGCTCATGAGCGACAGAAGACATCAGCGCATGCCGCCCATGCCTGAAGCTCCTGCCGGCTCAGTTCCCCGTCGCTGTCTGCATCAATCTTGGCGAACAGCTCACCCTGCACCGGCGAACAAGCATCTCGCCCACACATGCAGGTCAAAGCGTACTAAGCGTTTTGGGAGTGCTGGCCAGGAAGCTGCCCGCGCTTTCACTGGTTGAATGCAGGTGTCGGCCATATGCGCTTCGACAATTGGTTCAGTGACTTACCCGGTCAAATGATGACAACCTGTCTGTGCGTCGGCGGGGCCTCTGTTAAGCCCTCCTTTTTGAGGTGCAGAACGAGGCTGTTCATGGCCTCATTCCTCGAATTCAGCTAGAACCGAGCTGCGAAGACCAGAGCTTGCACATTGCATGGAGAACCTTAAGCCATCAATTTCAGACTGACAGAAACTTCTGGCCAAGCGTCAACGCCGTCTTTTCGCGGAGTTGCAGGAGTCTTGCGTTTAGCTGATCCTGCCATTCTTGCATAGCTTTCTGTGCCATTTTCTCCTGCTGTAGCTCATAGGCGAGCCTTAAACAGGGGGTCACATGAATCTGTCAGAGCATGCAGCCAAATCCCAACGCAAACTCAATACCCAAATTTACATGTAGCGTGCACTGCCACATGTCCACGATGATCTTTCGAGGTCTAATTCGGCAGCACAGCAGCAGCGAAAGAAACCTCATCAGTTAACTCAGGACCAGGAGCCACTTGGGAGTCTCTTTGGGCAAAGATGCTTTCAGCCCGCTGGGAGGTTTGACATCTGCTTCGTGCAGGGATGGAACCTCAGCCACACAGGAAAGCTCGCACGAACTTGTTAGTCTCATTTGTGCACTGGCAAACTTGTCCTGGCCAGGCGGCAGTATTTGATCGACTAAGTTTTGGGCCGCCTGCAGCATCACATTCCATGCAAGTGAGAAGTACCACGCGCCAATGTTACGCAGTAAGCTTCTGCCAGACTCTGTGGTCCTCACCTTGTGCATTCGACTTTCGGGTTGGCGACTTTGCTTCATCTTTCCCGCTGAAAGGGCTCATGAGGATTCTCCCAATGCTTTTCATGCCTCAGCCCGGCAGATGAAGAACCAGAGATGCGCTGTCCTCACATACCTGCAAACGCGCTGCTCGGGGCTCCAGCTGCTGCAGCTCACCCCGCGCACGAGGTTCGCTGCCACATCACTGGGACTCTACCCCTTGAAACAAGAAACGTCCTTTCTGCGAGCAGTGCAGCACAAGGCCCATGTGTGCAGATGTGGGCAGAAATACATCAACACTTGCCTGACAAACCACTAGACCAAGCATGGCAAAGCTTCTAAGCCTGCCGCTGCTTTCACCAGCGCCTCAACAAAGTTAAGGCCTAGCGGGCCTAGCGGCCTGGCTCATCAAAGCATCAAAGCCGTCGGATGCTATCGGCCTCCTTGACCTGCCCTATGGTAGATGACGCTGCAACGGTCAATGGCACCTCGAGGCTGAAAGCTGCAACGTTCAGGAGGCTCTCACGAGAAGCAGCCAAGGCGTGATCAGGGGTGACTTGGGGTTAAGGCCACACCTTGTTCAGGAAGAGAGATTCTGACACAAATCCACAAACCAAGTATGCTCAGACCGGGCAGTGCTGCTAGGGCTCTGCTACTTATACTGTAGCAGCAGCCTGAAGCTTGCATGCGGCTAGCTGTCGGCGGGCATCATGAACAGTCTCCCTCAAAGAGAACCTCTCAACTCGTCCATGCTCTGCTTACAGGCTTGCCTCGGCTCCACTCACGGCATGGCGGATTCGGATCTTCACGCTGGCCTACCGAGGATGACCACAAACAACTATATGAAATCTGACTGGTATGGCAAGCGTACTGTACTCGACATGTACTCCCTCGTGATTTAAGATCTACCAACGCAAAAGAAAAGGCGCTCATGCCCACACCACGAGGGCAGGTAATAAGCTTCGTTGCGTGCCACGGACCTAGTCTCACTCAGGCTGCCCACCCCCCTCCAGATGCCTCGCCACTTCCTTGCAGTTCTGCTTCCTGTGGAGTCAGCGCGAAAAAGGCGCCCTGGTGGGTGTGCAGGAAGGAGGTCTCGACCTCCGGATTGTCACACGTACACAAACGTTTTTGCATATCTCGACTGTGCCATGCGGTGCAATGCGATGTCTGCCTGTCTGACAGCAGACCGAAGCTTCGCATCCACCAGGTGTGGAGCCAGAGCTGCACTCACACGCGTCACGCCTCAGCGCTGACATGCGCTGATGTGCAGAGCCGCACAACTGAACAAAGCTCCACTCAATGTCAGCATCACTCCCGATAGGCTCGTGGAGCTGGGATCCATGCACTCCGGATCCCCACCTGTCTGTTGAGATGGGAGGCTCTTCTCAATATGTAAAAGATCCCTGAATCCCGACTTCCAAGGCTGGCCACCTAGGCGAAATGCGAGAGCGACGGGTCGCACTAACCGGTAGAAGGGCAAGTAGACCTCGCAGGTTGATTCACAAATCGGACATTAGGTCGCAGCAAATGGCTCTCGGGCTTCAAGACTGGGAACCCACCGCCCTCAAGGCACGCATTTGGAGGAGTTTTTGGATCATTCCCACCCTGTTGGGGGAGCCCTCCAAGGGTACCTGCGGGCACTACACCAGGAATACTCGAGAAAAACAGTCTGGACACCATTCTAAACCTTGACACAGCAACCCTTCTCGCATCACAGCCCAACCTCCACATCCCCGTGAGACCCCCTCGCTTCCGTGGCCGTTGCTCGGGGTCTGAAACCCGAAGCCTGGCACCTGGCACTTCTGTACGTTTTCCTCCAGCTCGTCTTCCTCGCAAGTTCTCCAAGGGACCTCCGAACCGCACTGTTGCCGTTGGCTTCTTCTGGGCAGCCTTGGAAGCAGCAGTCCGTCCTAGACCTCGGCCTTTTGTGATCCGACAGCCCAAGTGGTGACAAGGAAGCCGATAAGGCCAGAATTCATCGTAGCTGTCTCGTCATGGTGTCAGAAAGGCAACAGTTGTTGAAAGAGCGTGAATAACTGCCTGCCTGCCCGACAACCTTCAGAGAAACCTGTGCCCCCTTGAGAGACCGCCCCAATCTGACAGCCCAACACTCACGAAGTAGGTGACGTTCGTGGCTTAGTGATGCTTAGTGCCTTACCCTGGCTACCTGGAAGGCTGGAAGTTCTCGAACAGTACTTGCCTAATCATAACCAGAGTCATTGTCGGCAAGATGACGCATCTGCACCTCCTGCTTGAGCTCTTCCAGGCTGCCATTCCTAGATCGAACTCCTTGGTAGCGCTCTGCGGAGTGCACATCTGGGCTGAACTCGCTTCATGTCAAAGCCAAGTGAGCAGCCATCTCGAATGGCAAGAACCTCCTTCTGGAAGGTTGGTGAACCGACCCTGGCATGCAACAAGCACTCCACGGCACAAAGGCTGCCGAAGGCGGCATGCACTTCAGGCCCTGACAGGCGTCGGATCTCAGTGACAAGTTGGCGAGCCTGCGTGCTTTCATGATGTTATCACAGCAGTGCAAGAACATTGCTGCCATCCGCAGGTGCGGCTCCTCCTCACGGCTGAGCCGCGGCGCAGCATCCTCCGAAGGAAGGTGATGAAGTCTGTAGATCCAACCGTCACATCCATGTATATAGTATACGAGTCCGTTGTCCTGGATGCCATCGTTAGACAGGCCAAACCATGATCCAGTTGGAACACCTAGCACACTGGCACTCCTTTTTGCAGCTATCTTTTTGACACAAGTACTGCTTGACGAAGGGGAATGGGGCCATGGTGATAGAAAGATTACGTGCCAGCTGTCTACGTCATGCAGGCAGGCGCCTAAGTCCTTCTCGATGTCAGAAGCTAGTGCCAGGACCGTTGGATCCTCCGATGTCTGCTTCGCTCAAAGATAGGTCAAGCTACGTCAGTTAGGTCATGTACCAGACGGGAAGATACAAGCTCTCCACTGTGTGACATCGCAACTGTCAATGCAGGCCTGCCCATGCGGGAAGATGGCTGTGAACATTTGTTCGTAACCTTGGCCTGGCAATTGCAGGACGGCTTTCACAGACACATGCGGCGTAGAACACAACAGGAATATACGCACACGAAGACTTTCACGTGAAGCGAACTCTGAGCCAGCAGGGCGGTCAACGCCAAAGCCAAATTTCCTGCATGGGAGCCGGAGACCCGTCCGGCAAAAGACCAACAGCCACAGCTCAGCTTAGTTGAAAGGATGCTCATGAGCTTGGAGTCCTGAGGATGCTCTGACAGGCCGCAATAAAGAGCGTGCCCACGGCCATCCTGGTGCCTGCTGTTTCTCCTCGCTGCCTTGCGCCTGTGCCATACTATGCCATGCTCAAAGCTCTGAGGAAACAGATGCCTTCTCTCCGAGTCTGCCCTCCCAAAGTAACAAAGAGAACGCTTTTTAAGGTGCAAACGGACTCGCAGTTCTGCCACTGACTGCTGGAAGCCACGGCCTCCGCTGCATCTGGCGCAAAAACTGTCCAGGCTTGGGCACATACTCGCATACGATCCGCATTGTCATACTTGAAAGAGACCTGTCTCGGGTATGCACCCGGCTCTGTCGGCCCCATGATTTGATTTGGCCCATGGTGCACTGACTGTCACATCTGTAAGTCGCGACTTCTTCCGTGACAGCATGAAGCTCCAAGTGGCGAGCTGCCACAAGCGTCTTTGACCTTCTGTAGCAAGCGGCGGGCCTGGCAAGCGGCCGGGGTTTGGAAGAGGTGTTGCCGATATGCCACGATCTGCTCCAGGACTAGCTCTGAGTCTGACACTTTCTCCAGCGAGATCCCTCCAGGTCCAACCATCGCCTGCTTGATAAGAACTCTGACTCTTGAACTGACATCCGAATTGCGCGAGAAAGTACAGAGGCCTCGCTGTCTGAGTCTTCGACAGCAGACGGCGCCTGACACGAACATGTCAAACATTCATGATGCTCTTCATGAGGTCAGGCACCACCCAACTGTCATCGCAGCGCAGTTGGAACTCACATTGTGGATCCACGATGTCATGCAGCAGAGGTGTCGCAGCGCAAGGTCATCATACAGACATGGAGCAGCAGAAAGCACAAAGCGCAACGCTTAAAACTCAGGCTACCTTCTTGCGATGAGCTTTCTACAGCCTACACACAGACCGGACCAAGGAAAGGAGCTGCTTCTGGGTGAAACGGATGCATAGCACCGGCAGCTGAGTCACTTCAGCCACCGGCCGGACGCATTCTGTACAAGGATGTACAAGGTCAGCCTTCCGTGGTGAGTTTATCCTGGCCAGAGTTGGAGTGGTTCAGATGCCCATGGTGCCCTGAGCTGAGGGCATCTCGTTGCTTCCGGCCCCCTGTCCTTGCTGGCCTTGCGTGAACCAGACCTGCAGGGCACAGTATGTGGACCGTATGCTGACACATCACGACACATCACGACAAGCCAATAGCTGGGGCTCGGGCTTGCTGGGCCGCCGAGACCCACTTCTACTGGGCGGATCAGCTGCAACGGGCCTCGGCAACTTCTGGCATCAGCAGCCTTCGGCTTTGCTTCGTACAGTGGTAAGATGCAGCGCAAGAGTCCTCTGGGGCAACCATGGGCAACCCCTCACCCACCCTCACCCACCCAAGCTGCTTCAAGCACCGTGAGCCCATACCTTCTCGGGTCAGGAGAGGAAGCCTTTGGTGATTTGGGGAGTGTTCTGGGGGATCGCGACTCCAGAACTCTGCCCTCGACCTGTCTCGCCTGGCGGCATCAGCGACAGCGCGATAGCCCGTAGATCAAACACTACAAAAGTTTGGCTGCATTCTGCTGTGAGAACCCCAAACACGTTGCTATGCTGCGTTCCGTTTCTGCATGTTGCAATGAGTTCAGTGGCATGCTAAACTGATGCAAAATGCATCAAAATTCAGGGTCGAACGCCGGAAAGATCTCTTCGACCTCCTGCGTGCTAAAGCCATGTCAGGGCATTGCACCACCGGGATGAAGAAAGCATAGGAAAGCCCTCTCAAAACGGTCCTCTGCAGATAGGTTGGCAATCGCAGTCTCCTTCGCTAAAGATAAGGCAAAGCTTCAAGCTTTGTAAGCTTCTTCCCCCTATTCTCACCCAAGTTCCCCCATTCAAGCCCTTCTCCTTGAAGAGATGGCGCAGTCGGCCTTCATTGAAACGACCACCAGGAGAGTCCGGCCTTAGCAAGGCGCAGAGCAACTTCGATGATCGATGGCAGGGGAGGGGATATGTTGAGGCGAAGACGTCTTCACCTTAGAAGGAAAAAGAATATACAGTGCATCTTTGTGGCAATGAGAGGGTCAATGGCTGCATACACTCCAAAGTAGAAGCCGCCCACCATTTCCGCAATGCCATCCGTTAGCTTTGCCTGGCAGTTCTTAGCCTGCAGCAGGTCGCGGACAGCGCATGGACAAGTGGCTTCTGATAACTCGGCTTCAACCACTCAGGAGCCGGCTGTGAGTTTGGTGATCGTCAAATGCGCAATCTCGCCTTCACCGCAAAACGATGCAGCCTGTTCCAATCGGCTCAGCTCGGCGCCGCACTCAAGGGCTTGCTGACGGATGGGTCAAGCGGATCGGGCCTTTGGTGACAAATTGAGACATTTGTGACGAGATATTAAAATTGTCAGACATACTTGCATAGTGTTGCGAAATCAGCACTGAATATCATCCTGCATTAGCACGTTGAAGTGCTTTCACGACTCAGGTCACAGCGGCGGAGGGCCTTCCAATGGATACAACGGAACTACCTGGCAAGCAATGCCCCTTCCGCAATACCCTGGACGCAGTTGTTGTGAACAGAGAGCCACAAACTTGCCAGGCCCACAGTGCCGCCCCACCGCCATTCTCGCCACTTTCCAGGTCCGCGGTTGCGCATACTCCGCAGCCTGCATCGCTGATCGTATTTCATCGTGAACCCTGCAGCTGCCACTGACGAACTCTTGGTTGGCAACCAGGCCTATGCTGGGTTTGTCACCCACACGTTGCCCGCTGGTGTTTATGCCGGCTCTGAGCCCACACGGCACACGGTTGCCACACCAGAATTGACCAGGGAAGCATGCAGCAGCAGGTCAAGGAACACGATGAACACACGAATTACCAATCAAGACAACCACAACCCACATCGCAGCACCTCATCTCCGACTTCTCCATCCGGCCACAGGGATGGGCCCAAGAACAGAAGCCTGGTCCAACTTCATACGACTTCTTTCATCCTGAACATCCCCAAGCCCGCCTCCGTCGCCCACGGATGGGTTCGGAGTCCTGGTAGCCCACCAGAACACCTCCCTGGAGTCGCACACAGAATCGTTGGGGACAGCATGGGCCAACTACGCTATCCGCTGGCAGACTCCAAGCATCCAACACGATTTCTTACCAGCTTGGCCTGTCCGGCACATTCAAGCTGCCACCACTGTATGCAATCTCCGAGTCCCACAACTAAGCCAGCTGGCCCTCTGAAGGAAAGCTGGGTTGCTGCACTTTTGCGCGACCGCCTGAAACTTCACCATGTGCCGTCTACCCTGACCACGCTGCTCTCAAACGAAAACAATGCACTGTGGCTGAGACTGCACGTACGTCGCGCATTGTGGCCTTGGGCCACGAAACGGGGAGGTTGATCCCATTGTGCTCAGCGAACTGGAGTAGCACAAGACACTTGAGGAAACGTAGAAGCTCAGATTCGGAACGTTACCAGCTACCGTCACATACACCTGCACAAGGCATCCACAGCAGCAAAAGTGAACGTGCTAACTGACTCCACTCCGGACCTCTTCCGAGGTAATAGTGTCTCCAGCCCGGCGGACACGTACCTGAACCTGGTACGTGATGGCATGTCGGTACGTGCCAACCCAGGTCAACATCCAGAATAGCCTCCGGGGGTTCGCTCACTTGAGAAACATCCTGCAGCTCACGCATGGATGCTTTCCCTCAACCATCACTGTGCTCTGATGTGTTTCACGTGTTGGTCCTCTGTGCCGGGTGCGACGTCCTCAGCGAAGAGGAGCTCGTTGAGAACGGCACCCTGCAGCGAACCCCTTGGCTCTAACATGCTTCAATCCTTCGTCTCCAGGATAGCCGAGAATAGTCGATGCAACCAGAGGTCGACACACGTTTCGAGTGCTAAATCTCTGACTGATGGAGTGATTCTTCAGAAATCTTGCCTGCTGCTGGAACTCGCCGTTCGAGGTGATCTCGGGGCGATCGAACTGCTGCAGCATGTCGAAAACGCCCTGGAGATGCACGAGCTCTGCAGACCACTGGGCCTACCACCGAGCATTGCGATCAACGGCAACCACTTGGTGGCGAGCCTTCGGGCTGCCGTCGAAGCCGTATCTGGGCAAGACCACCCTCCTTAGTGCAGGAGGACGGAGAAGAACTGTCATCGGACGCGTGCACGCTGGAACCGCGAGAGCCTTAGAGCCACCACAGGAAGTTACAGGCGGGTGTCTGCACCGTGAGGAACAGCTTCTGCCGCTCCACGCTGAACTTCCTGGGCTCGGTATGCCTGGGCATTCGGACAGCAATCTGAGAGGGGGGGGGGTCAGCTGCCGGACGGCTTGAGCCACCGGCCGGAGGGCCGCAACCAGCTCCTGACGCCACGCCGTGCCCATGGCCTACCCTGGCCTTCTGACCGCTTGGCAGCCCATCTCTGCACATCTACACTGCACACACTGCAGGTCCTTGCGCTTCTGCTGGAAGTCCGGATCTGAGAAGCCCTGCAGCAGGTCGCGCCTTGGCACAGGGCCCCCTTCGCCAGAGGCTGTCATCCACAGAGTTCCCAGCTACTTGGAGCTCTCGTGGTCGCTCATCGTCTTTCAGGGCTGTTTGATGGTCTTCGCTGGTCTTTGATGGCCATGGGTGTCCTTGCCAAGGTGCTGGAGAGCCAACGCCTGGTGGATCGAGAGCTTCGGCGGTTCAGGGGCCACCGCCTTCCCCTGGACGCAAGCTCCGAGTTCATCCGCCTACATCCTACGTCGTCCTGCATCCTCCTAGATCTGCCCCCGGATTTTCCCCATGCCTCTGGCTTGCGAGGCTCGTAGCTCGCCTCACAAAACGGCACGATGGACTGCACTGCACTCAACTCCCCCCGAATCGGACAGTGACGGTGACACCCCGCAAGGCGATGCAAGGCGCCTTCTCCGCCGGTGCCTCCTCGGGCGCCTCCTCACCTGCTGGCCTCTTCAGCGCATTTGTTTCAGCTCATTTATCAGCTCATGGCTGGAAGATTGAAGATCTTCGGAACTTTGTGGCTGAGCATCCATGAGGAGACCTGAGGTCAGTGCCGAAGGCTGGGAACTCCCAGCACCAACAACGCACGGCGGCCATTCAGCTTCTCTGTGTCCTGGACAAGTGGCAGAGAAGTGGCAGAGAAGTGGCAGAGAAGTGGCAGGACCACAGATCCCCACAGATTCTCACCGCATCGGCCTTGAACGACGAGAAGGCGCCGTTCTCACCAACCGGCTGCACCAAGCGGCAAGACCGGAGCAGCTCGGGCTTGCCCAGGTGTGCCACCAGGGCCTGCATCGTACCGCTAGAGCATCCGGCCACATCTTGGCACATCCCGGCAAAATCCCGGCTTTTGCACGTGAGAAGCATCCCTTCTAGAAGCACCGGGACGGGCCTCCTTCACGCTCTTCATGGTCGCGTTGCTCTTCACGGTCAGGAGCGCCTCCTCGAATGGAAGACATGTGCGCTCAATCTGCTCAAGCAGCGAACCGAAGTCCTCATTCGGATGATCCTCTTGGACTGCGTGACGCACCAGCACCTGCACTACCGCTCACTGCAGCTGCTCGCTGCACTATGCTGCACGGCATCTCTTCCAGAGACGATTGGCGACTGGAACTTCCAAGCCTCAACGTCGCGCACAGGTGCCGCTGGTCGAGCCGGGGGCGGCCCACGTGCTTTGGGCTTCGGCTGCCTCTCTGAAGCCTGGGAGATTGTGACGTGCGTGAAATCTTGCATCTGTGACACCCAGCATTGCGAAGCGACTTCTGATGTAGCTCTTTTCCATTGATCGGAGCTGAAGGGGAGGAACGAAGTGGAAGAGGCAGGGCCACCGACTTCTGTGCAAGATTGCGCAAAGACAGCGAACGGCAAACACAAGTTGATTTTCCAAGTATGCCTGCGTCGTTCAGGTCATTACATACTGGCCGCTATGTCAAAATGTGGCAACAGAATGAACTCAGAGCGTAAAGCCGGCGAAGAAACGATCAGCACCCATTGGATACGGTGCAGGTTTAAGACAAGCTGTTAGCAGCAGAAACCGGTTTGATCATGAATGTTGTGGAGCTTTGATGTGGTTCATTGCCCTCTTTCTCGCTTCGTCCCGTCGACGCACTCTACGAAATCGGAATAAACCAGTCAAACATTCGCTTCGCAAAAACAAATCCCACGTGCATCGCTGTAAGTGTCACTGCGAATTCGGCGTTTAGGCTTGACCCGCAAGGGCACGGCCCGGAAAATCCTGTTTCTTGACAGCCCCTTGTGCGTGGAATCGTCTAAGGAGAGACATTCTACGGCTTTTCTGACACTTTCATACACCTTCCTTCTTTCACGCTATAGCCAGTAAGTTTATCGCGATGACTGTTGGTCAACCCTGTTGGCGAAGACGTCTTGTGCTTGGGATGCAGCAGGCCTCGGATTGTGAGAGCTACAGTCCCCCTCTTTTCATGCTTTCGGGATGCCCAGCCCAAGCCACCCTCCTTCAGCGCAGCCGAAACAAGCCAAGGAAGAGCCAACATGGCTCTCAAGTGGTTGCAGCCAGCAACATGCCAGGTTCCGGACCGCGGTTGGTGGCACAACTGCGTTCGCAGGATCCGCCATCTCCTCCGCGAAGAGGAGGTGGTTCAGTATGGCACCCTGGACAGGAGGCAAAGTGCATTACAGCGTTGCAGAATACCTACGCCTAACTCCTACTTGCGACCCCCCCCCCCGTATACATTAATTTCCTGGGTTTAACAGGCCAGGAGAAATGCATAACGGACCCTAATGACGTGTGATCGATTTTTGCCTTTGTGCTCTTCGGTCGCTTGTAATCACAGAAAAAGCCGATCCCCCCATGGGCCTTTCAGGCGTGAGTTGGGAAGAGCACCTAATAACGGAACGACGAGCTACGATGCCTGAGTTGGCAAAAGAGTTGGTGACAAAGTGTGAATCTCTATGAGAAGTTTCTTGGGGGCTGCTGCGGGAATCTGCTAAGGCCCGGAGAAATGTAAGCTCACCCCCCCCCCCCCTATACATTCCGTAGTTTCCTAGAAATCCAGGGGCTGCCTCCTACAATTTATGGAGCTGCATCGGGAGCCGCAGAATGTATGACGGACGTCACAGCTTGAATCCATGCAATGTCGGCACCTCAGACCTCACTATACCGACCCCCCCCCTTATACATTTTTGCCGTGGTGGCCCAATTTTCCCCCTAAGTACCCCCCCCCCCCCCCGCCCCCGCTATACATTAGTTAGGCGTGGGGATGTTGCAGACAACACCTTGTTCAAGAACGGCCATCTATCGAATCTGCCAAGGAGATGTTTCGTTCAACACTGATGCAGCACTGTCGCAAGAAAGAACTGGAACGGCGAAATCTGAAGAAGAGGTCTTTGCTGGACTCAAGAAGAACGCTGGCACTAACAAGAAGGGACTAACGAGAAGGGACCACTTCGGGTTCTCATCCCGAAGTTCTTTGTGCCCTTCGAGCCTGGGGTTTTGTGTGGGTTTGCTCTGAAAAAGTTTGAGTTTGATAAAACAAAATTTGGTGTTTGCGCTGCAGCATCTCCCACACCCGAACAAGATGTGGCATACCACGTACAAACACATTCCCCCGCTTCCGGATATTATTTGGGAGATGTACTTTTCAAGTGGGCGAAAACGTGATTAAGCCTTTGGATATACAAAAGCAGACCTCAGAGTCAAGACAAGGCCTGCTGCTGGAACTCCCCGTTCGAGGTGATCTCCGGGCGATCGAACTGCTGCAGCATGTCGAAAACGCCCTGGAGATGCACGAGCTCTGCAGACCACTGGGCCTACGACCGAGCATTGCGATCAACGGCAACCACTTGGTGACGAGCCTTCGGGCTGCCGTCGAAGCCGTATCTGGGCAAGACCACCTTCCTTAGTGCAGGAGGACGGAAAAGGCCGGACAAAGCCGCGTGCACGCTGGAACCGCGAGAGTCTTAGAGCCACCACAGGAAGTTACAGGCGGGTGTCTGCACCGTGAGGAACAGCTTCTGCCGCTCCATGCTGAACTTCCTGGGCTCGGTATGCCTTGGAAGTCGGAAAGTCTAACAAGTGTCAGCTGGCGGACGGCTTGAGCCACCGGCCGGAGGGCCGCAACCAGCTCCTGACGCCACGCCGTGCCCATGGCCTACCCTGGCCTTCTGACCGCTTGGCAGCCCATCTATGCACATCTACACTGCACACACTGCAGGTCCTTGCGCTTCTGCTGGAAGTCCGGATCTGAGAAGCCCTGCAGCAGGTCGCGCCTTGGCACAGGGCCCCCTTCGCCAGAGGCTGTCATCCACAGAGTTCCCAGCTACTTGGAGCTTTCGTGGTCGCTCATCGTCTTTCAGGGCTGTTTGATGGTCCTTGTCCTTGCCAAGGTGCTGGAGAGCCAGCGCCTGGTCGATTGAGAGCTTCGGCGGTTCAGGGGCCACCGCCTTCCCCTGGACGCAAGCTCCGAGTTCATCCGCCTACATCCTACGTCGTCCTGCATCCTCCTAGATCTGCCCCCGGATTTTCCCCATGCCTCTGGCTTGCGAGGCTCGTAGCTCGCCTCACAAAACGGCACGATGGACTGCACTGCACTCAACTCCCCCCGAATCGGACAGTGACGGTGACACCCCGCAAGGCGATGCAAGGCGCCTTCTCGGCCGGTGCCTCCTCGGGCACCTCCTCACCTGCTGGCCTCTTCAGCATGCTTCAGCTCAGTTGTTTGCATTTCATTTATCAGCTCGAGGTCAGTGCCGGAGGCTGGGAACTCCCAGCACCAACAACGCACGGCGGCCATTCAGCTTCTCTGTGTCCTGGACAAGTGGCAGAGAAGTGGCAGAGAAGTGGCAGAGAAGTGGCAGAGAAGTGGCAGAGAAGTGGCAGAGAAGTGGCAGGACCACAGATCCCCACAGATTCTCACCGCATCGGCCTTGAACGACGAGAAGGCGCCGTTCTCACCAACCGGCTGCACCAAGCGGCAAGACCGGAGCAGCTCGGGCTTGCCCAGGTGTGCCACCAGGGCCTGCAACCGCTAGAGCATCCGGCCACATCTTGGCACATCCCGGCAAAATCCCGGCTTTTGCATGTGAGAAGCATCCCTGACGCATCTAGAAGCACCGGGACGGGCCTCCTTCACGCTCTTCATGGTCGCGTTGCTCTTCACGGTCAGGAGCGCCTCCTCGAATGGAAGACATGTGCGCTCAATCTGCTCAAGCAGCGAACCGAAGTCCTCATTCGGATGATCCTCTTGGACTGCGTGACGCACCAGCACCTGCACTAGCGCTCACTGAAGCTGCTTGCTGCACTATGCTGCACGGCATCTCTTCCAGAGACGATTGGCGACTGGAACTTCCAAGCCTCAACGTCGCGCACAGGTGCCGCTGGTCGAGCCGGGGGCGGCCCACGTGCTTTGGGCTTCGACTGCCTCTCTGAAGCCTGGGAGATTGCGGGGCGATGTTGACGGAGAGGAGTCATCATGGTGAGTCGCGCAAACCCCTGCTACGAACGGTCAAGTTCGCAAACTTTAGCCGACTACAAGTAAAGCCTGGTGGGCGGAAGTACATAACAGGCTGACAGGGTAGGTTCGTGCAGCTTGTGCGGTTCCCGTGCAAACTCGGATGCAGGCATCAACAGACTGCAGCAAGCAAACCGTGTCCTACACGCTTCTGCAGTGTGCAAGTCCTGGCCTGCAATGCAGCAGGGGCTCCAGCGTCCCCAAAGAGCAGGTCATTCAGCACGGCACCCTGAGACCGTCGATCGAAACGACAAACAAATGCAAACAGACGTGAGAGTTGGAGGGAAATTCATGCAAAACCTATAAGACAACCGGACGTTTCGCACACTTCTACACAAAGCCAACTCCTGCCTGCTGCTGGAACTCGCCGTTCGCGGTGATCTCCGGGCGATCGAACTGCTGCAGCATGTCGAAAACGCCCTGGAGAAGCACGAGCTCTGCTCCGAGCACTGGGACCACTGCGCCTACGACCGAGCATTGCGATCAACGGCAACCACTTGGTGGCGAGCCTTCGGGCTGCCGTCGAAGCCGTATCTGGGCAAGACCACTCTCCTTAGTGCAGGAGGAGGGAAAAGGCCGGACAAAGACGCGTGCACGCTGGAACCGCGAGAGTCTTAGAGCCACCACAGGAAGTTACAGGCGGGTGTCTGCACCGTGAGGAACAGCTTCTGCCGCTCCACGCTGAACTTCCTGGGCTCGGTATGCCTGGGCATTCGGACAGCATCTGAGAGGGGGGGGGGGTCAGCTGCCGGACGGCTTGAGCCACCGGCCGGAGGGCCGCAACCAGCTCCTGACGCCACGCCGTGCCCATGGCCTACCCTGGCCTTCTGACCGCTTGGCAGCCCATCTATGCACATCTACACTGCACACACTGCAGGTCCTTGCGCTTCTGCTGGAAGTCCGGATCTGAGAAGCCCTGCAGCAGGTCGCGCCTTGGCACAGGGCCCCCCCCGCCAGAGGCTGTCATCCACAGAGTTCCCAGCTACTTGGAGCTCTCGTGGTCGCTCATCGTCTTTCAGGGCTGTTTGATGGTCTTCGCTGGTCTTTGATGGCCATGGGTGTCCTTGCCAAGGTGCTGGAGAGCCAGCGCCTGGTGGATCGAGAGCTTCGGCGGTTCAGGGGCCACCGCCTTCCCCTGGACGCAAGCTCCGAGTTCATCCGCCTACATCCTACGTCGTCCTGCATCCTCCTAGATCTGCCCCCGGATTTTCCCCATGCCTCTGGCTTGCGAGGCTCGTAGCTCGCCTCACAAAACGGCACGATGGACTGCACTGCACTCAACTCCCCCCGAATCGGACAGTGACGGTGACACCCCGCAAGGCGATGCAAGGCGCCTTCTCCGCCGGTGCCTCCTCGGGCGCCTCCTCACCTGCTGGCCTCTTCAGCGCATTTGTTTCAGCTCATTTATCAGCTCATGGCTGGAAGATTGAAGATCTTCGGAACTTTGTGGCTGAGCATCCATGAGGAGACCTGAGGTCAGTGCCGAAGGCTGGGAACTCCCAGCACCAACAACGCACGGCGGCCATTCAGCTTCTCTGTGTCCTGGACAAGTGGCAGAGAAGTGGCAGAGAAGTGGCAGAGAAGTGGCAGAGAGATGGCAGGAGGACCACAGATCTCCACAGATTCTCACCGCATCGGCCTTGAACGACGAGAAGGCGCCGTTCTCACCAACCGGCTGCACCAAGCGGCAAGACCGGAGCAGCTCGGGCTTGCCCAGGTGTGCCACCAGGGCCTGCAACCGCTAGAGCATCCGGCCACATCTTGGCACATCCCGGCAAAATCCCGGCTTTTGCATGTGAGAAGCATCCCTGACGCATCTAGAAGCACCGGGACGGGCCTCCTTCACGCTCTTCATGGTCGCGTTGCTCTTCACGGTCAGGAGCGCCTCCTGGACGCACAGTGGATAGTAGAAGCATGCAGCATGCCCGCGTAGCACACACCGCACCTTGCAAGATAGTATCTACCGATATCTATCAGAGTTCACCTGTGTGTGATATCTGGTGGTCTGAGAGTTCTCATCATGTCTGAGTCCTCGTTTGGAAAGTCGTCTTGCACGGCATGGCGGACAACGACCTGACTCTCAACTCTGCATAACTCTACATCTCAAGGAGGCAAGGACACATGAAAAGTCAGGCCACCTCGATGTCATGAACTGGCATCGCTTGCCGCGCAGGCGGCGCGCGGGTCTTCTTGGACCTTCCTGATACCTAGCAGGAAACACAGGACGCTTGCGCTGTATGCGGCTGAGCGGTTGAGCTTTGCGACATTCAGGGCATAAGGCATGGCCTCCGGCTCGGGGAACGCCTCAAGCCAGGCTGAACAGGTGAGGAGCACCATGGTGCTCACCCCTTCAGCTGAAGCTCCTGGGGCTGCCAGCCTGCACGGGAGGTCGAATTGCCTCTGCCGGGTCTTCCGCGAAGAGGAGGTGGTTGAGAACAGCGCCCTATGCCAACGAGGCAAAGAGGTGCATGTTGGCGCCACAGCCCAAGTCCTGCCTGCTGCTGGAACTCCCCGTTCGCGGTGATCTCCGGGCGATCGAACTGCTGCAGCATGTCGAAAACGCCCTGGAGAAGCACGAGCTCTGCTCCGAGCACTGGGACCACTGCGCCTACGACCGAGCATTGCGATCAACGGCAACCACTTGGTGGCGAGCCTTCGGGCTGCCGTCGAAGCCGTATCTGGGCAAGACCACTCTCCTTAGTGCAGGAGGAGGGAAAAGGCCGGACAAAGACGCGTGCACGCTGGAACCGCGAGAGTCTTAGAGCCACCACAGGAAGTTACAGGCGGGTGTCTGCACCGTGAGGAACAGCTTCTGCCGCTCCACGCTGAACTTCCTGGGCTCGGTATGCCTGGGCATTCGGACAGCATCTGAGAGGGGGGGGGGTCAGCTGCCGGACGGCTTGAGCCACCGGCCGGAGGGCCGCAACCAGCTCCTGACGCCACGCCGTGCCCATGGCCTACCCTGGCCTTCTGACCGCTTGGCAGCCCATCTATGCACATCTACACTGCACACACTGCAGGTCCTTGCGCTTCTGCTGGAAGTCCGGATCTGAGAAGCCCTGCAGCAGGTCGCGCCTTGGCACAGGGCCCCCCCCGCCAGAGGCTGTCATCCACAGAGTTCCCAGCTACTTGGAGCTCTCGTGGTCGCTCATCGTCTTTCAGGGCTGTTTGATGGTCTTCGCTGGTCTTTGATGGCCATGGGTGTCCTTGCCAAGGTGCTGGAGAGCCAGCGCCTGGTGGATCGAGAGCTTCGGCGGTTCAGGGGCCACCGCCTTCCCCTGGACGCAAGCTCCGAGTTCATCCGCCTACATCCTACGTCGTCCTGCATCCTCCTAGATCTGCCCCCGGATTTTCCCCATGCCTCTGGCTTGCGAGGCTCGTAGCTCGCCTCACAAAACGGCACGATGGACTGCACTGCACTCAACTCCCCCCGAATCGGACAGTGACGGTGACACCCCGCAAGGCGATGCAAGGCGCCTTCTCCGCCGGTGCCTCCTCGGGCGCCTCCTCACCTGCTGGCCTCTTCAGCGCATTTGTTTCAGCTCATTTATCAGCTCATGGCTGGAAGATTGAAGATCTTCGGAACTTTGTGGCTGAGCATCCATGAGGAGACCTGAGGTCAGTGCCGAAGGCTGGGAACTCCCAGCACCAACAACGCACGGCGGCCATTCAGCTTCTCTGTGTCCTGGACAAGTGGCAGAGAAGTGGCAGAGAAGTGGCAGAGAAGTGGCAGAGAGATGGCAGGAGGACCACAGATCTCCACAGATTCTCACCGCATCGGCCTTGAACGACGAGAAGGCGCCGTTCTCACCAACCGGCTGCACCAAGCGGCAAGACCGGAGCAGCTCGGGCTTGCCCAGGTGTGCCACCAGGGCCTGCAACCGCTAGAGCATCCGGCCACATCTTGGCACATCCCGGCAAAATCCCGGCTTTTGCATGTGAGAAGCATCCCTGACGCATCTAGAAGCACCGGGACGGGCCTCCTTCACGCTCTTCATGGTCGCGTTGCTCTTCACGGTCAGGAGCGCCTCCTGGACGCACAGTGGATAGTAGAAGCATGCAGCATGCCCGCGTAGCACACACCGCACCTTGCAAGATAGTATCTACCGATATCTATCAGAGTTCACCTGTGTGTGATATCTGGTGGTCTGAGAGTTCTCATCATGTCTGAGTCCTCGTTTGGAAAGTCGTCTTGCACGGCATGGCGGACAACGACCTGACTCTCAACTCTGCATAACTCTACATCTCAAGGAGGCAAGGACACATGAAAAGTCAGGCCACCTCGATGTCATGAACTGGCATCGCTTGCCGCGCAGGCGGCGCGCGGGTCTTCTTGGACCTTCCTGATACCTAGCAGGAAACACAGGACGCTTGCGCTGTATGCGGCTGAGCGGTTGAGCTTTGCGACATTCAGGGCATAAGGCACGGCCTCCGGCTCGGGGAACGCCTCAAGCCAGGCTGAACAGGTGAGGAGCACCATGGTGCTCACCCCTTCAGCTGAAGCTCCTGGGGCTGCCAGCCTGCACGGGAGGTCGAATTGCCTCTGCCGGGTCTTCCGCGAAGAGGAGGTGGTTGAGAACAGCGCCCTATGCCAACGAGGCAAAGAGGTGCATGTTGGCGCCACAGCCCAAGTCCTGCCTGCTGCTGGAACTCCCCGTTCGCGGTGATCTCCGGGCGATCGAACTGCTGCAGCATGTCGAAAACGCCCTGGAGAAGCACGAGCTCTGCTCCGAGCACTGGGACCACTGCGCCTACGACCGAGCATTGCGATCAACGGCAACCACTTGGTGGCGAGCCTTCGGGCTGCCGTCGAAGCCGTATCTGGGCAAGACCACTCTCCTTAGTGCAGGAGGAGGGAAAAGGCCGGACAAAGACGCGTGCACGCTGGAACCGCGAGAGTCTTAGAGCCACCACAGGAAGTTACAGGCGGGTGTCTGCACCGTGAGGAACAGCTTCTGCCGCTCCACGCTGAACTTCCTGGGCTCGGTATGCCTGGGCATTCGGACAGCATCTGAGAGGGGGGGGGGTCAGCTGCCGGACGGCTTGAGCCACCGGCCGGAGGGCCGCAACCAGCTCCTGACGCCACGCCGTGCCCATGGCCTACCCTGGCCTTCTGACCGCTTGGCAGCCCATCTATGCACATCTACACTGCACACACTGCAGGTCCTTGCGCTTCTGCTGGAAGTCCGGATCTGAGAAGCCCTGCAGCAGGTCGCGCCTTGGCACAGGGCCCCCCCCGCCAGAGGCTGTCATCCACAGAGTTCCCAGCTACTTGGAGCTCTCGTGGTCGCTCATCGTCTTTCAGGGCTGTTTGATGGTCTTCGCTGGTCTTTGATGGCCATGGGTGTCCTTGCCAAGGTGCTGGAGAGCCAGCGCCTGGTGGATCGAGAGCTTCGGCGGTTCAGGGGCCACCGCCTTCCCCTGGACGCAAGCTCCGAGTTCATCCGCCTACATCCTACGTCGTCCTGCATCCTCCTAGATCTGCCCCCGGATTTTCCCCATGCCTCTGGCTTGCGAGGCTCGTAGCTCGCCTCACAAAACGGCACGATGGACTGCACTGCACTCAACTCCCCCCGAATCGGACAGTGACGGTGACACCCCGCAAGGCGATGCAAGGCGCCTTCTCCGCCGGTGCCTCCTCGGGCGCCTCCTCACCTGCTGGCCTCTTCAGCGCATTTGTTTCAGCTCATTTATCAGCTCATGGCTGGAAGATTGAAGATCTTCGGAACTTTGTGGCTGAGCATCCATGAGGAGACCTGAGGTCAGTGCCGAAGGCTGGGAACTCCCAGCACCAACAACGCACGGCGGCCATTCAGCTTCTCTGTGTCCTGGACAAGTGGCAGAGAAGTGGCAGAGAAGTGGCAGAGAAGTGGCAGAGAGATGGCAGGAGGACCACAGATCTCCACAGATTCTCACCGCATCGGCCTTGAACGACGAGAAGGCGCCGTTCTCACCAACCGGCTGCACCAAGCGGCAAGACCGGAGCAGCTCGGGCTTGCCCAGGTGTGCCACCAGGGCCTGCAACCGCTAGAGCATCCGGCCACATCTTGGCACATCCCGGCAAAATCCCGGCTTTTGCATGTGAGAAGCATCCCTGACGCATCTAGAAGCACCGGGACGGGCCTCCTTCACGCTCTTCATGGTCGCGTTGCTCTTCACGGTCAGGAGCGCCTCCTGCACACTGCACTGCTGTTGCTTCACAAGGCCAACTGTTCACCGCAAAAACAAAAGGCTACGAGCGGTAGTGACAGTGTGCAACAATCCGTGGCCTCATTGGCCAAGAGACCTTCCGGCACAGCATGCCGAATTATCACCTTCGCAGTATGCAGCGTGCTGTGGCGACCGTCACGGCGTTATACCCATGTAGCAGGGCTTACAACACAGCTCTCGATGTTTTTTCACTTTGCGAGATACTGCTTACAGACTCTGCTCCTTCCCATCTGTCGCTGAATGTCCCTGAACAAGTTGTCCTTCCCTCCGGTGACCAGGAACTCGTCGTCGCCTCCGACTCGAGCCTTCCGCTTGATCCGCGGCTTTGTCGGATCGTGGTAGTCACCCACAATCAGCAGCACTTCTCCAATCTCTCGGCCGAGCCCATAGTCAACAACCCAGCTATCTTTCCGGTAAAGATGCAACTCGATGAGGCAAGAGTCCGATGCCATGAACAGAACGTTTGGCGCCCAACCTCCATTGGGGGCTAGCACAACCGCGAAGGAGGAAAACAATCGCGCCTGTTCAAGTAAAGTTGCTGGGACATCGTCCCTTATGGCAATATCGAGCCGGGAATGAAACAGTGGTTTCAACCTCTCCGGCTCCAAGATCCGCCGCCATGAGGATCTGCCACGGGTGTAGATTAGAACGTGGGAGTGGTCTTGTAAGAAGAGCCGATCATGCGCCAGGACTGATACCCAAATCCTACTTTTCGCATCATGCAAGAGACTTCTCGGCTTCAAACTGTAGTCACAACAAGGTCCCACTGAACGCAGTATGTGCAGCTGCTTGCGTGCACAGTAGCGGACATCCTTCGAGTAGTTGTAGACCCGCCAGCCTTGTGCACGCGCCACGGTCCAGAAAAGGTCGTCTACCCAGTACGATCCGTTCGCGCAAGTTCTGTCTACCAACAATGCCGTGTCAGAACTTCCATGCAGCGTCATCCACCAGTACAGTGGCCAGAAATTCTGATGAAAATCGTGATTAATGTTGCCCCCGCAACGCAGGAAAACGAAAGCAACGCGGTCGTGAGGCAAGACCATGCCATCCGAGGGACTTGATACTGGCCCACAGCACTTTGGCCTCAGACCGCAGCGGCTTTCGGGGTCTCCTGAGACGGCCAGGCATCGGCTTCGCTTGCAGAGGCCCGTGCAAGACAAGTACCGCTTGTCCAGCGGCTCGAGGCCAAGAATCGCAGCATTTGGTTGAGCAGAGGGAGCCAAGGGAACGGTGACAGCCTGACTGCTTTCTCCCGGTGGCACGGTCGGCAAGGTGCGCATCGATGCGGAGGAGCTTGGAGAGACAGGCCAGGCTGGGGGATCTTGCGGGCACAGCTCTTGCGAGGGGAGCGAGAAATTCGGAGCCTCACACTTTTTGTTGAAGCCATCTCGCGGTGTCTTGCTCTGGCAAGGCTTGGTGGTTGCATACCAAGTGCTGTAGATCTCCACGGCCTTCTCCACGTGGCGACTCAGCAGGGACTGTCCAGGGACTGTTACGGACCCTTCGGACCCTTCGGACCCTTCGGACCCTTCGGACCGGTGCGAGGACCGGCCTTCCCCTAGCACAGAGGCTGCGAAGGAAGCGAAAGATTTCCTGCACGTGAACCGGCCGGACCTGTCCAGCGCAAACGCATGTGGCAAGCCGTCTACGCCGTTGTCCTTGGTTCGCGAATGCAGGACAATCCCACCGGCGGCCTGCAGTGTTGCCGCGAAGGATGGAAAGCTTCCACCTCCACCTAGAATTAGGACATTCGAGGAAGCAATAAAGTCCAAGTCCCGCCTTAGTCGTGTGTATCCGCTGCTTCCACCTCCTGTCAGCGCCCGACCGGCCAGAAATTTCAAGTGTGGAATTTGCGAAAGGCACTCGAACTCCTTACTCCCTGGATTAAGCTCGCCTATAACCACAATCTCCGTGTTCTCAGGGACCATGTCCGGTATCGCAGCAAAAAGATATCGCAGGGCGTTGAGGTAGATAAAGAGTGGGCAAGAGTCTGGTCGATCGCCACGGCGTAGCTGCAACGCAACTCGGAAGGCTGCTGAACCCCAATCGGGCCTTCGACCCTCTTGGAGCCGAACTGCATTGTACTGGGCCTGCAGCCACTGCCACGACACCTCGTGTGTCACAGTTTGACCTCCTGGGCACCGCAGCTGATACACGACGGGCTGCGTCCGCCGCGGGTCAGGCCTGGGACTTAGCTGATGCGCGGTTCCTCGAAAAAGTGGCTCGCCATTCTTCATCCGGACAAGATGCTTGCTAGACTTGTCTGACTGCAGCTTTGCTGCTACCAGCCGTGCTCCTTTGAAAACGGATCTGGAGGCGATAAGCATCGTGTCGCCCTTGACCTCACCTTTTGCACATCCGAACAAGTGCCCGACGTTACCGGTTGAATGGCCACCAGTCTCCCAATCACCCTGATTGCAGATGTATTTGCAGCCATACTTTTGCGAAAGCACAAGAATCCACTCCATCCTTCGGAACATGCCACCAATACCCTCGCCATTGTGGCACGGCCGCTCGTTATAAACAAAACAAGATGGTAAAGGAGCAGACGTGCTTTTCTTGGGCTCTGGTGGCACAGGCACGTCAGGAGCTCGCTCGGGTGGCTTGGGCTGTATGCCACCACCCGGCTGAGGCGCGGTGAGCGGATCCGCTGTCTCCAGCACGTAGCCCATATGCTCTGCAGGCCTTGTTGCGCCCCGACTTGTCTCCCCAACCGACCATGGAAGTGGCATCATCGGGAAAATGCACCAAGCCCACAATGGCAGGGAGCCTGCCACCAGGCCGGCAATGCAAAGGCACGGATGCTCGCATGGCGTCATGGGTCAGGGATGGTCAGGGAGAGCATAGGGGCAACAGCTTCTTGCTTCTGACAGTATGACATTCGGAGGCACACGAGCATTAAGCGCCTGTTTTGCAGTCGACGCTCATCAAAGGCACAAATGACCTGAATCCGCATAGGTACAGGCCGTCGGACCTCGATGTCGCGAACTGGCGCCGGCTGTCGTTCTACCGGAGGCGTGGGAGTCTTTGGCTTCGCCGATTTGCCTGTCACCTTTCGCATTCCCCGCGATGTCCAACTCACTCTGTGGGATACTGTGGGTCTGGAAAATCTAAAATTTCCCATCAAAAGTTTCCCCGAAAAGTTCACTCTAAAGCTCCCTCTAAGCTCTGAGGACATGACGTGACTGGGCTCGGCCCTGGCACCTGCTGGCTCTGGAAACGCCTCTTCAAAGCGTCTTGGGGCTTCTCCAGGCATCCAGGATGCTTCAACGAGCAGAGTGTGCAAGTGTGCAGCAACAATCAGCAACTTGCATCCTCCAAGGAGGCCCTGTTCCGAGGTCTCTTTTCTGCAAAGGCTCACAGAAAGTCTGAAAGTCCCATGACGGGACGTGTTCATACGAAGTTGAAGCTGCTCAATCAACTGAGCTAGGACAACACAATGAAACTGTCCGCTGCTACAGCCATCTTGAAAGAGCAGAAGGCAATGTAGCATAGCAGACATGTGCCTGCCCTGAAACTACTCTCGCCGCAGAGTCAGAGTTTACTTTCCATACTTGGCGCTGGCTTCGAAGCCCAACTTAACATTGAAGGACGTGGGTGTCTTTCTTCCCAGTAGAGCTGCTGCTGAGGTGGCCGCATCAGCTGTGGGCGCACTGCCTCCCAAGGCATCTTCATACCAGGCGCTTACCTGGTTCCAGTTCACCACGTCCCACCACGCCTTCATGTAGTCCGGGCGGCGGTATTGGTACTTTAAGTAGTACGCATGCTCCCAAACGTCACAGCCAAGAATCGGAATGCCTGGCGTGCCCTCGACGCCATCCATGAGTGGGTTGTCCTGGTTGGGCGTCGAGGTGATGGCCAGCTTCCTGAGGTACCCATGACTAACATCAAGGTTCTCTCCTAGATTCAACACACTCTGCAACCCCGAATGCCACGTGCCCACACTCTGTTCGAAGAGGGTCTTGTCATCCGTGACAACCAGCCACACCCAGCCCGACCCAAAGCGAGCACCTGGAGCGCCAGCCGCTTCGAACTTCGCCTGTGGCACACTTTGAAAACACTCCTCCTGCACTCGAAACCTCTCTTGGATGTGACGCAAGGGAAGCGGGAAAAACCCTTACAAGACCAACCTCTGACTCCTTGGATCCTGTCAGAACACGGAAAACTTCAACACCAGCCTTGAACTCATCCATGGATCCAAACTCGTCGTTTATGGCTGAAGCAAGCTTCTCAGAAGGTGTACCACCAGTTCCAGTCGGCGCCATCTCAAGCCAAAAGAAATTGTGATTGTACGCGCCGCCTCCACTGTTGCGAAAGGCCGCTCCATCCTTTGAGTTGGAAAGATTCCATTGACTTCCCTTCTAGCCCTACTCCTGCCGTACTCCTACAGTACTCCTGCCTTACTCCAACTGTACTCCGACGGTTAAACGGCAGTGTGCTAGCAAAGCCATGCTTCCTTGATGGCCGTCTTCTGCAGCTCAACCAGCGGAGGTTGGGTCTTACCCTCCAGAGCTTTGTTGATGTTGGTCACATACGTGAGATGATGCTTATCATGGTGGAACTCCATCGTGGCCTTGTCAATGGAAGGCTCCAGCGCATCGTAGGCATAAGGCAGGTCAGGGAGGTCATATGCCGTGGCCGGCTCCAACCCCATAACGCTCGCCAAGCCAGTCGCCAAACCGGTGGCCAGCCCACGTCTGGAATGCCAGGATGCCCTGCCAGCTGCGCTGTTGGATGCCCTGTCCTCTGAAGGCGCACACAGGAAACTCAGGTTCATGCACCGACAGACCAACGTGGCAGCGACCAGCGCCAGCACACCACGAGCACGACGGGACATGGTGCCGTAAAGGGCAAAGCACCTCTTGTTTGAGCCTCCTTGCCAGCCTTGGGAGGAAAGTCGAGTCGAGGCCATAAAGATGGCTTCTCAAGTCTGACCCCGGTGCATGGCCTCTCTCTTCACTGGGCGTGGCCGACCATCAGGCATCAGCCGCAAAAGTGCGTTCAGTTCAGACCTCAATTTGCAAGTTGCAGGTTGCAGAGTTTCTGCTCCTGTCATGCATGCACTGGCTGGAACCGATTTGTTGCCATCCTTTTCTCTCAGACTCATCTGATCACTGAATGTTCCCTGGGGCGGAAAATCCCATTACAATGGGACGACTTGTGCTTGCAATGCTTCGCAGCTTGCTTTGCAACTGCAGAGAGATGATGCACATCCCGACTTGTCGAATATGCTGTCTGGTGTCCGGTGAAACGTTAGGCAACTGATGGCGATTGTGGTCTGTTGCGCACTGCCGTATCGCCTGGCACTTGCTCACACACACTGTAGGAGGGCTTAGGGGTCTCTGTGACTTGCCTTTCTTCCTTCCTGTTTGTTGGCCATGGAAACCAAATGCCATTGAAGCGGCCATGAAAATGAATCCTCAAAAAGCTGGTGAAACACACTAAGCTCAGATGAAATTGTTTGGAACTGTGGCTTCTCCAACTGCAACTGCGCCTGCATTCGGCCAACGATAAAACAGCAAAAGTCGCGAGTATCAAAAGCTGCCTCACTAAGAGCTTGCATTGGCGGCAGTAGTGGTGCTTGTGGGCGCCTGCACGAAACCGATCTGAAACACATTGGGTTGCAAGCATGCCAAGCTGCGCAATGCAAATTGCGACCAAGCTGCATCGATTATACCTTGTCTGTCAAGACTCATGATGCACTGACGGACTAACTTGGAGCAACTGACGTCGCATGATGCAACTATGCGGGTGGTTTCTGCATCCAAGAAACCATTCATTACGATAGGCTGCTCTTGCCTCTCCTCCAAACATCCACCAGCTGCCTGCTTTGCCCTTACAAATTCCAGAAGACGGCCTGTCTGATTTCCTTGGCAATCAACAATATGCTCAGAGCACTTGCAGCAGTGCGGTGAGGGATACAAATATGCAGAAATACAAGCTATGCCAGCTATGCAGCCGTCAGATGAACACAAGTTCAGCGGATCGTTGAGACCTTGGAGGTGCATTCTCTCTGTCCTTCAACACTGGGCAGTCTCTTCTTGACAGCTCAAGGCACACAAGCAAGTGCTCCTTCCTCTGTCCGATTCCTCTATGCGTTTGTCTCTTCTCTTCTACAAGATGGACAGAACTCCGAGGCTGAGCATGCCCATCTCTTGCTCGTTCGCTCACCATGCTCGCCTCTCCTAGAGTGTCAGCTAATGGAATTGTCCCGCAGTGCCAGCACCAGATAGCCAGGATATTGCACCGGAATAGCAAACAAAACTGCAATCTAGACTTTAGAAGCAGCCAAAGGATGTGACACTGACTGCCCAGTGCGGAGCATGATGCTTGAATTTGATCCCGGTCGGTGGGGCGGTTCGGGGAGAAACAACAGACCAGGGGCTGTCTGTGAGGCACGTGTCAGCAGACCTTCGAAATCTGGGCTCAGCTTTACTAAAGTTACCAAGGTTTGTTGAATTGAACCACCATCGCGCCCACAACTTCAAATCGCTGGCATTACTCATGATTACGCCGACCGGAACGAAAACAACCACCAATATCCGATGTTGCCAAGGTGCAGCATCCGTTGTCCTTATGCACATCTATTTCATGCTCTCTGCCGATAGCAAGGAGTAGAATGACTGGAAAAACCATTGGCTATTCTGTTGACCAAGGAGCGCCCTTGCAAAACACGCTTGGGCAGCACACGGTCAGGTCACCATCTGTGGTACATGTGTCAGGGCAGCCCTGCCAAAGGCGCATCAGCAAACAACTCGCCAACCTCCCTCGTCTCGCCCAACAACACTTACGAGAGCTTTTCATGAAGAATTTCAACAGGCAGTTGAAAATCGAAACGGATGCTGGAGAGCTGGAAACACAGGTTCCCTTGTAAGACCTGGCCTGGAGTATGATTGCGCAAGTGATGCATACCTTGGAGCATGCAAGACTGCACAACTTCGATGCCTCACGCCGCCCAGCGTTGTTTATACAAATACATATATATATATATATATACATATTGTTGTTCATGTTCTGCGGAGAAAGCCACACAAGAGACGACGATCTTCCTAAGCAAGATGGTAGGCATGGGCACAGCACCTTAGATGATCACATCGCTTGGTGCTGCTGAGCAGACAAGAGAGCACCCTCGGCGGCCCAGCCCGCGAGCACTGATGGTCTTTGACAAGGCACTTGCTGCTGTGTAGCCCTGTGACACACTGTTCGGGCCAGAAATGGCCAAGTGCCGAAGAATGGAGGTTGCTAGAACGAGGCACCAATTGCATTTGGCATCGCTACAGGCGCAGCTCCATACACACCTGAGATGGTTACCCAAGCCGAACGAACTCCCCGTTGTGCTGGAGGTCGGGTCGGCGGAAGACTTCCTGTCAGAAATTGACTTTTCCTGCACTTCGGCACCATGGGCTACGTCAAAACATACTCTGTCAGAACCAGACAACAACTCACGGTGATACGGGTGTCGCACCAGCATGTCGAAGACACCCTTGAGACTTCCCTGGAAGCCATACTTTGGCAAGACCTTGCTCTGCACCTGGAAAACCGAGTGGAGGGTTCTGAAGCCTCTGAGTTGACGCTGTTGACAGAGCTTCAGAATTCTGACTGAGATCGAGACTGAGAGGAACAGCTCTTGTCTCATCGGGATGAGCTTTGGATCCTCACTCACTGCAAGTGAATGTTGCAGTCTGCTGGTCACTAGTGCCGCGCCTTAGCATGAAAGTTTTCCAGGATGTCCAGCCTCTGTTTAGGGCATGCTGAGAGCTCGAACGGTCTTTCCGGCAGTTGGACTGACTATGCCGACGGACCATGCCTCCTCTGGAATGCAGGGTCAGAAAAACCTGCATGCAGTTCACGTTGCATGGCAATGACCTGGTCGAGAAAAAACTTCACTGACGGGGGGTACGAAGACATGCTGCAAGGTTCAACATCCTTTGCCTGATGGACGCTCAGCTCAGGCAATCCTGTGACGCGCAAGTCACGCTCCCAACACAGCAGAAAGCAGACGAAGCTCCTGCTGGCTCGCTCTCCATATGCTCCAGCTCGTCCTGTGAGAGTCAAAGAGAGTTCGCCCAAAGCTTTCTCAAAGAGAGTCCTCAAAGAGGTTCGAATAGGCTATGGATTCGGTGTTGACTCAGGTTTTACTGGACTCCTCCACTGCACTGCGACCCAACGACGCCTTCATGGTGTCTCGCGAGTCCTCCGCTCTCCCCCCCCCCCCCGCCACAAGAAAACACACCAAAAGTCTGGCGATTGCTGCCATCCTGGGGGCGACTGAAGAGCATTCCTGGGTCAAGCCGAAGTCGTCTCTCAACACCTCACGTTGTGGAAGAAGCTGGGATAAGGAGTCCAGAGAAACCGGAGAAGCCAATTTGAGGCTGTCACCGTCTGCCAACGTACGGACAGACTGATCATTGGAGTGAGCCTCTTTCACACATCGCGATCATGTTATTCTAAGAATCCTCCAAAAAATTTTCGGCGGGTCCTCGCCTTCACGGCATCAATGACTTTCTGAAGCTTCCAAGCTCTGCCAAGCACGGACTCGGCCGCCTTCTGCACTGCCTGAATCTTGGCACAGCAACAGAGCTGTTTCAGAGCTCATGCAAACCTCTTTCGGCCTGCCCCATGAGCTGTGTGATGCCTAGCTGCAAAGCTATGCCACCACCTTGGCCAGTCGCAATGCTCCTTCGACTCCTCACGGCCTGATCTGGCTAAGGTCACTGCGATCATGTAACTTTTCCAGCTGTGCTTGAAAATCCTCCTGCAGACATGAAGTGCTGCCACATTTCGGTGCATTCTGAATCGGCACAACCTTAGGCGGGTCCTGCACGCAGGCTTTCTCAAGCTCCTGCTTCGAAATGTTCAAGCATAGGCTTTGTCCCCCATCAGAGCTCATTAAACATTGATGTGCTTGTCATCGATATCAGTATGCGTATGCATACTAAAATGAGAATTAACAATGTGCTTCAGCCATAGCACCCCCACCCAAAACCATCAGCAGCACCATCATCATCGCTCACAATGAGTTCATCGCCATCGGCACTTCCTCGTCATCGAGCACGCACAAAAAACCTCGAAGAACATGTTCAACGGCTGTGGGAATGCTCACCCTTGGTCCTGCCAGATGTTCATGGAGGCTACGAAACATGACGAATTGCGCATGCAAACAGTGCGATCGTCGACCCTTACAAGCGCATCTGACAAGCAATTCCAGCTTGCAAGCACATCATCTTCATCATCATTTTGGAACAAAGTGTCCTTCTGTGAAAATGCGGAGGTTCCAGTACCATCGCCACCCTCAAAAAGTGCGAGAACCTAACATGTGCCATAAATCGGAGCTCTTGCCACGATCCCACGTAGCCCGACAAGGAAATGAAAAAACTTAGAAGGAAATCAGAAAGCTAACATGGGTGCTCCGTACATCAGGAATGCTATACACGCACATGCGGCACCACAAAAACATCACAAAGCTGTTGCGCAAGCGAATGAATGTTCAAGAATGTCCCGTAGGTCAACGTTCGTAAGTGCTGCAGATACCTCTTTCAAATGCTCCCGCACTAAAAGCGTCAGGAGGGAACCCCAAACCCTCCCAAGCACACACGCCAAGGGAAGCTCAGCTTATCCACTTTGGCTGCACAGACTCAACAGTACTTAGTTGAGTACTTGTTTGTGTTTTTGCGAGCAAGGACACACACACACAGACTTTCTTTAGTTTATAGCTTGTTGGGTGATCCAGATCTGGAAAACTGATACCGCTATGCCTCGAAGAGCTGAGACTCGATGATGCAAAACTGATTGCCTATATACACCTTGGGGAGGTCTACCCGAGTATGCCACCCACACTTGCCGCATTGTGAGGATAATCTGGGGTGTACAGCCCGAATCTTTGCGGTGGAAGGGCTTATACCCGACTATCCACCGGCATCCCGTTATGTGGTCTACATGCGTATAACGGTACACCCTCCCCCTCAGGTATACCCAATGCAGAGTCAGCCGGTTGACCGTTATGCTGTCCAACGCAATGGACATCCTTGTCACAATCAGAACTGTGCAAAAAGTTGCCAAAGCTAGATTTAAGGAACGTGCTATCTGGTGCGTTTTTGTAAGGATGCTCGATGCATCTTCTATGCGTACGACAACGGGCTTTGCCCTGAAACCATAAGTGCATGTTCTTTTGTTTAAAGAAAAGGTGTGTTGCTGCGGTTTTTCGTTCAATCTTTTTGCGAGAAGATGTGCTTCTACCCGACCAACCTCAAAAGAATGTGCATTTAATGAGTTGTTCGCGAGAACAAGGAAGATGTGCACTTTATTGCTGACAACAAAGTCGGAAAATATACAAATGCCTGAAGCAGCGCGTTCATCTGTTAATGTCTAAAGCCTCGGACTTGAAAATTGATTTGGAAGTCTACATCCTGTTTGGTTTGTGCCTTCTAAGGCAGGGTCTCATCACTTTCCGTAGCGAACGTCTTATCGTAGCATCCTTGAGGGAAATGGGTGCGTTTGAAGCTAGGTTTGTTGGTAAGGGGGCTGTCAGTTATATTTAAGGAAGCGATGAAGCCAATGCACCTCGTGAGCTTCGGCGCTGAACAGGCAGGGTCTGACTTCCCACTGCTTCCCTCAAGTCAGCGGGGTAAAGATCAGGATGGAGGAAATGTCAAAAGCTGACCAACAGAGCCCCAAGCCCATACCCTGCAACCAGAAGAGCCCCGGAGCACAGCAAATCCGAACCATTCATGTCTAGCCTCTTGTCTAGCCTCTTGAAACAGAATGATTTGTGTAAAGCCTTGACTCCAACATTACTGCTCTGCATCTTCTGACTTCGATGCAAGTAACAATAAAGATGTGGTCGTGTGCTTTCTTGGTAAGGAAACACAACAGAAAAGCCACACAAAAGAAATACCAACCGTCTCCAAAGAGAAGATGTGAACTCATGCCTATGATGGCAAACGAGAAAGCTGTTCACAGAAAATATTGGTCGGCCCTTACAGCATTGTCAAGAAAAGATGTTCTTATTCCCATTATTGGGAGGACCTTCTTTAATTTGAAAACAATCTAGTTGTTTAGCCACCACATGCAGCATCTAAAAGCTTCGGCCACATGGAGCAAACCGTTTAGTAGGAAGCAGCTGGCTTTAACCGGGAAATTCAGTGTTCAGAAAGAAGGCTGGTCCATAGGCGAGCATATACATATATCTACACATCTCTATAATTTATACATGCACGCATACCTTTACACATAAATATAATACATTTATGCAAGTATGCAAAAATGCCTTTTTGCATTCTTGCATGTATGCATATATACATCTATGCATCTATGCATATATATATATATATATATATATATATTTTTTATTTATTTATTTATTTTATATTTATATGTACACATATGAGCATACAAAAAAGAAGACAAACATATCTTCCGCACATGGAAAGATCTGCAGCAGGCAGTCTGTGTCATGGCCGTAGTATAGCGAAACTCCTGCAGAAGTTGCTTGACGGAGTCGACCGGCCTGATATGTGGGTTCAGTTGGCAGATTGGCGTTCTGAGAATGTCATGGCAGTTCTGGGCTATTTACAAATCGCTGCCGTCCGCAGACTCTGTGTCTTCTAGTTCAACACCTGACACATGCAGGGTCAGGATGCCAGGATGTCGTTAAAAGAGGAACCATCTGGCAATCCCAGTCCAAGAGCTAGGATTGGGATGCGCAAAGGGCCTGAGCTAAGTGCAGCACCGAGCATCATCAGCTCCGCACGACGGGAACCATCTGGTGCCCAGCCGACAGTCTCCTGGTCCTGTGTCTCGGGCACCGTCACAACAGAAGGTATGGCAAGGTGGCGAGATGATGCGAGGTGTGTGCATTCAGGGCATTGCCGCTCCTTGAAAGCGATCCAAGGTGAGGTACCGGCACTTGCCTTGAAAACAAACCTCGCCTTGCGACGAATGTCATCCCTTCCAAGTTTCTTGGCCAAAGCTTCTCGGACTGCAGCAAATGTCCAATTGGTCCAAATGGTCAGTCCGATCTCAGGCCCTGCCTCAACGGCATGTCTAATCCTGATCTCATATTCTTGTGGCGGCGGTGGTGGTGGCTTGGGCTTCGGTGGTGGAGCAACCTTTTTGGGTGCAGGTTTTGGCTCAGGTGGCTTGGGTGGGGCAGGTGAAGGATCTGAACTGGGATGCACAGATTCCTTCACACGCGGAGGAGGTTCTAGTGTGTCATGGCGACGAGTCACAGAGTAGGGCTCGGCACCTGCTCGAGAGCTTTCGTTGGAGCTCTTCGCAGGTGTTTGTGGCGGCGCAGCGTATGGATGAATTGGTGGCGGCTGATCATCTTCCTGGTCTTCAACCGTGCGGAGATCAGCACCCAGTACCAAAACCTGGTCGAAAGCTTCTACAGGGCCACCATTTGAAGATCAACATGCAATGTGGTGCAGAAACTGGTGCGAAGCCTGACGGATGTCCCCGATGGGATCATCATCCTCACATAAGGAACAACGAGCGCAGTGCTCGTCATTCGTCATGTGCACACCGCTCTTCACCATTCTCTCTGTTTTGCCTTGTAGGTTGAGTAAACGCCTCCCTTTTTCTGCACGAGCCTCACATGAGGGCACCTATATGTCGCTGTCGTAAGTCTAAGCACACCCGAACCTGCCCTTGCGCAGAATCTCATCTCGACCTTATTCGAGACTTCATGGGCACATCAGCAGGCATCACACGGATGCTACATCAGCCAAATGAGCCTCGCACCAAGAAACTTGGAGATTGCCTGAACAAGCCAGCGATCCAAGTCCGAAACACAAGCAGCCAGATGAGGAACGGTACTGCCACGAGAAAATGTAACACTCCCACACTCCCATGATGCGACAATATTCGCAGCCTGGTGTGTGAAACACTGTCACTTGATAGGACGTGGGGGGCATGTGCAGACATGCCCTGCGACATGACAGGGATTGTCGGAGTCAGATTCCAGGTTATTCTGTCACGAAGCAAATCAATCTGACCACGCTACAAGCAGCCTGCTTGCAGTCAAAGAAGGTGGCATCATGCGCAAGTGCCACTCGCACCTGCTACAGTTCTTGCCTCTGATGTCACGACACAAATGTTTACAAAGTCGCTTGGCCAACTGCTTCCAACGAGCATCTCACCTCCGCATTGTCCACAGCATGTCGGGCGAGCACCTGCCAGCACCAACTGCATTTGTTACTCAAAAAGCCGCTTCCCCGTCGCTCCCCAGTCTGCTTGGCGACCTCAATGCCTTGCCGCGATCTTGACTTTGGCGGGGGCCTTGGCAGCTGCTCTTTGCCTTTTCGGCCTTGTAAGTTGGTAAAATGAGTGCAGTGGAACGAGACATCTCTGGGAGGTCGAACTCTTGCCGCGGCGGTACCTCAAACTGCAAGAGAAGAATGCCGTGGCTTCGCACCGTGTCGCATGGCTCGCAGTAATGATCCCAACGGCCTTTGCTGCCGGAGTCTTGCTGGGTTCCTCCTCTAGAGGAGGGTAGTCCGGCTCCTGATGTGGGGACTCAAGAGGGCTTACTTGAGAATGAGATCCTCGATGGCCTGGCCGGGCTCCCCAGGAATTCCAAAGAAAGCCCCTGGGGGCATCCGCAACAAGCGCTCAACCTGCCATCGGCCCAAACTTTGTGGAAGCTTGCACATCTTGAAGCCCGTCCGAACTCCGTTGAGCTATCTGGGCCTCGTGAGCTTGAGCTTTTACATGGATGTTCCACGAATGCTTGCTGATTCCACGCGCCATGTCCTTCAACAATGCAGAAGTTGCCAATTACGGAAGATCGAACTTTGTCTTTCTTAGTCTGTCCTGGTACCCTTCTGTAGTGAGCGGAAAATCATACATGGCCTCAGAGGCTGAAAGGAGGACAACATAGACATAGACAAACCATACTCTCGCAGCTTTAAGTTCGAAAAAACCGACAGGAAGAACCAAGCGCAGTGCCATCGTTCGATTGAACGACTGGCCGACAAACATCGGCTGCATTCTCTGCACCGCGTCCGACCCTGAACTGCATGTTTTCAGCAAAGCTCTTCCATCGACTGACTTGACAGGCCTTGCTTGTGTATGTTGCCTAAAGTCTTCTGGAAGTCCTGCCCAAACAGGCACAAGACGAACCATGGAAACCCTGCTTGCCATCCTCTCTGGAGTCCTTCGTACTTGCGATCTCTCGGAAAGCCTGCCATCAGCTTCACAAAATCTGAGAAGATGTGAAAGCCTGAGAGGTTGCATGCCCAGTCCTTCAGCAGTTCCTTTGCTTCCCCGAGATTCAGAGGCCGATCTCGCGTGGGCACCCTGGCCAAACCCCAGCACTAAAACACAGCGACAAGACTAGTGAAAGGTCCCTTGAATTCGCTTGAGCTTCGCTGGACGTCGCTACGAGGCGACAGAAGCGCGGAAGTGTGACGGCTCCGGCGCTTGTGGCGCTTGTGGCGCTTGCGGCTTCGCGGCCTGGCGATAGAACAGAAGCGAATTGAACCGGAGCCGAAGCCCATCGAAATAACCTCACAAAGATGCGGTCATGGCTTGGGCTAGAAAGCACCCCCATGACCACTGCCTTAGGCAGTGCTAAGGGAAGCAATCACGACAGAAGCTTGGCAGGAGCCCACTAGCACCTGCATTTAAGATCCGCCACTTCTGCAGCGTGTCATTTGCAGTTTACAGATTCTCTAGAGATGCTGCGACTAAACTTTTTTACTATGAGCATAGATATGCATCCGTCAGCAACTGTACAAAGAGCCTCATGCATGCGGCAAACCAGGGTTGCTCAAGTACGCCACGACTTCGTTTGCATCATGTTAGGCGTACGGAGAATATTCAAGTAACCCTGATTAACATGCCAATTGCCCAGCACTCTTTAGCCAGGAAGGGAACCGTCTGCACGGTTCGTTTCTTAAATGTCGGGCGGGAACACGGCAGCAGGCCGGAAAGAAACAGATGGACTCATCAAAGAACATTCAAGTTCCTCTCACAGCAGCGGCCCAGACTCAGACTCAGTCAAACAAGGAATCGTCGGCGACCACCCTCGGGCCACAGGTTGCACAAACGTTGGCTTTCAGAAAGCTGTTGGAAGCTCTGCGCAATCGCATGGTAAGTTTCTACGAATTGCTACACGAATCAAGGCCGGAGCTTCGCTTCCAGACCTGTTCGATCGCACAGTCCGTGGTGACATGGAGCGCATACCTGCGGCGATCCACCAGATGACTCTGCCACGTTTTTAACCGTTTAGCGAAAGTATGCCAAGTCTACGAAAGTGTGCGAAAGCGTGCCCTCTCGCAGATCACGGAAGGGCACCAGGCCGAGGGGCACCAACAACTCGTTGGGCTTCGGGCCGCTGCAGCGCTTGCTGTTGCTGCTTAAGTCCTTGCTGCTGCCGCTGCAAAAGCTGTTGAAGAGCCTGTAGCTGGTCGATCTTGCTTTGAAGCTGCTCGGCCGACTGGCTCTGTGAATGTTGCTCTTCAAAGAGTTGCCTTAGAAGTGGCTTGAAGTCTTTGAGTTGTGCCTGTGGAGCACATGTCTTGGCAGCATGCTCTGCTGCCACAGCAGCCGAGCAATTCGGCATGTGATGTGGGATTGCGCTCGAGGGACCAGCGGAGCAGCGCTGCTCCTGGCTGCATCTCTTTGTCTCTCGTAAGCAACTCACACCTATCAAATATTTCACAAAGCATCACAAAGCCCTTCCTGCCGGACAGGGGTGTTGAGCTGCTGAATGACAAGTTTTGCCAGTGACTGGTTTTCAGCAGGCCTGGCCATGTACAGCACTGGGGGCACTGTGATCTCATGGTGGGTGCGAACTACCCACAGGTGACTCAATGCCAGCAGGCTTAAGATTCTTGGGGGCTCACGCTGGCGGTGGCGGTGGGAACAGCGACGGTGCCGAGCAGGATTGAGCGACTGTGACACGCCGAAGTCTCGGCGGCTCAGTGCACCTTCTACTCAAGTTGAGCTCAGACATACAAGCAAGGCAGCAGTTCCGATCAAACATTGCAGGGAGGACGGTGAGCTGCGTCCACCGGCAAGTACAGCGCCTGCCTGCGAAAGATTAGCAACAGAACACAAGTTCCTCCAGAAAATCATTCACCACCAGATCTCACCTACCAGCTACTAGCCAACGAACTACAGCGTACTAATGACGCGTATGTGCATGTACCATAGTGGCCATAGTGGGGCTGGGCTGCGTGCCGCAGCAGGCGTAGCAGGTGAAGCTGGTGTGGCAATGGCAACTGGTAGCGGCCTGAGCACATGCGAATCAGGAGATTCAGCGATTTTAGGATTTTGTTCCAAGACTGCGCCCCAATGTCGACATGCCTGGCCGGCCTTTCTGGCGTCTGGTCAACATGAGTTGATCTGAGGGGCGACTGGCTCCTTGTGAAGCAGCCGATCCCTGTCTCTCTCTCTCTCTCTCTCGCTCTCTCTCTCTCTCTCTCTCTCTCTCTCTCTCTCTCTCTCTCTCTCTCTCTCTCTCTCTCTCTCTCTCTCTCTCTCTCTGTCCAAGTACAGCCCCCGAAGGAGCCACAGCCCCTCTAACTCTTTCTCTGTCTCGCTCGCAAGAACATAACACCAAACCCATCATCCATGATTTATTCCGTCTCGGCCTGGCAACTTGAGCAGGGACAGGACGAACAGGGACTGCGACCGTGTAGGCACCATAGGCGCCCCTGAGAGCAACAAAGCTGCTCGCGTGAGACTGATCTCCCCACGAGAGCTCTTAAGCTGTTTAAATGATAAACTGATCGCAGCACATGTGCCTGAATTGGGGAACCGTTGCGGACAAGTCTTGAACCTGGGAAAGAGGACTCTATTCTGCATCATCTTCGGCCATGTTTGTCTTTTGCCAAATGTGCTGAGTTAAGTGCTGGATGTCGAGGCGAAGGTGGCCTTCGATTCTGGGGCTCTTACATACCAAATGCGCGCATCGCACACCTCTCACCGTTCCGTCCCACAGCTGTACTCTTCATGCATGGTCGCACACGCATCCTCTGAAGTCTCAAGTCTCGGACGGAACAACTGTTGCCCGCACCCTCCTGGTTGGTCCGCTGCTGGGGCCTTTCCCAGATCCAAGTCATACAATGTGGCGACTGATACCAGGTCTTGATTCAACTCAAGGGCGAGGACCACTTGGCCGGCGAGTAGCTGCCACGGATGCAGCAACCTCGGAAGTGACGCGAGATATCTTGCCCAGACCTGAACAAACGCAGAGAGCTGTGCAGGCTATCAGCCTTGGCCTAGGCATGCTTAGGCCATCCTAGGCATCCTAGGCATCACACGGGGACTTCTGATGACATCCAAGCTCGTCGGGGTAAGGTTGAAGCCTCCCAGCAGATAAGGTTTTCAAAATCTCGCAGCAATCTCTGCCCTGGCGGTCCTCATTGGTCGGTTGTGAGACCTGACAGGGTTGCAGATCAGAGCCTCCCTGCAAGGCTGGACTCTGAGTCACGTGCCTCTCTTACTCGAGGACTGTGTCCGGGCTGACAACCTTCGGATACACAGTTGAAGAGTGACATGATGATTCATTCACTTTGCCATCTTTGCCCTGCACCGTAAGGCAGGGCCCTGCGTGTATGCATGATCACGCGGGCACTTGGCAAACCGCAGTACCACACCTGGAATGCCAGCGGTCGCAGTCATCCTGCCAGGCCTGAGGCATTGCATTACTTTCAGCACACGAAGTAACGAAAGACTTCAGCCCAGCTATCCCCACCTGCTGATCACCTTTGCGTTCGAGTCTACACCTGCGGCCCGCCCATGCGACTCCCCACAAAGCTGTCAAATGGAGATGTGGCCGGAAAGGCGGGGCGGGTGCTCGCAGCACCCTAAAGAAAGCTGAGGAAGTTTTGCCTCTTCTGCGATGGGCTTCGTTGAGCCGCGAGTTCTCCTCGCAGCAGCCAGCTGCATGGCACTGCAACAGAACCAGAAGAGCCTCAGCAGAGTCTAAGATTCAGGCTGCCTTCCCTGGTCTCGAAGCTGGTGGCACTGATTCTCTTGATTCCTTTGGGTCCTTTTCATCTTCGCCTCGGACTGATTACTACACACCAGCCAGACACAGCCAGAAGCATCCAGCTGAAAAACTAACTCCTCAGGACCTCGCTGCCCATGTCATCCTGACCAATCCCCGTGCTTTCAGTAGCCTGACAGAACCCGATCGGTGACCACAGTACACGATACAGCCACCACCACTTCACATGGAAACCGCAAGTTGCAGGACCTTGTCAGGCATAAACATTCAAAGAATAAAGGCACATTCCTGCAGACCTCGGAGTCTTGCTTAGATTTCTTCATGCCTCGAAAACACACGCGGCCCAACGCAGGTGCTGTGCCAGGTATTCAAGGTTCACGACACAGTGAACGCATTGAGACCAAGGCGATATGACAGTGGCGTTACAAAGCGCTTCACGTCCTGAAGCTTCGTAGGTCGCAGCATGCTGATGCATGCTGCATGTTGTTTCCCCCAGGCTGAGCTTCCCCATGTCCAGAGCGCGCCTCATAACGCGAGTCACCTCAGAACATAAGTGCAGTCTGCCAGGAGAAAGGAACCAGACAGCACTCAAACACTCTGCCGAGGTGCGGATTCGACGTGGTCCTGAGTCTAATCACCAGCTCGGCCAGCAAACTGGATAGGCAACTTTGTCACACTTGCTATGGCAGCTTCGTTTCACGAAAGAGCTGTTGCACAACGTCTCACTGAGAAGAAGCCTTGTGCACTCCAAGCTGCGCGGAGTCTGCAGTGAAGGGCAGGGTGCAGAAGACGACATTTTGGCTGCTTCAGTTCGACGCGCTTGTGACGCAAATGTGATGGCAAGAAGAGCTGCAAAATGTGGACGACAGACATCTGGAGTATCACGTATATAGACTGCAGGTACCTTGAACATTAGCACCCTGCGGAGAGCAAAATGCTGCAGGCTTTTTGAGTCTAGGAAGCCACAGCACTACATGTGCTTCCAAGGCAAATGATGCGGGGCTACCGGTTGACTTGCGAAGCTGCCAGAAGCTGGCATCGCAGCCAAGGAGGTACCTAAGCACATGTATTCTGAGCCAACACTTAGCGCACATCTACCAGTGATTTCTTGGTCTTCAAGGCCACTGTCAAGATATCAAATCACAAGCAAGGCACCCATGATGAACACCTGCCGCTTCATGCCCAACCTTCGACCACAGAGCTAAGTTGACAGCATTGTTGGGGATACTGAAACACAAACTTCCGAGACTTGACACGACAGCCCGCCTCTGGCTATCAGGGACTGGCAGGAGATCCTGGGCAACTCAAGCATGCCAAGATCTGAAATAGACTTTGTCACAAAAAAGAACTGGGGCACAAACACCGGTCGGGCTCTCTACCACCATGCGACCTTTGACTAAAATGTGTGTCAGCAAACGACCTTGACGGAGCAAAAAGGCCGTCACCATTCCGGGCAATCTCCGGCCGGCCCAGCTTTCGAGCCTTGACTCCCAACTTAGGCTGTGCAACATCCGTGTCTGCAGCGAGCTCAAGCCGCTGGCCAGTGCATCTTTGACCTGCCTCATGCTGGCACTCCCAGGCACGCTTACGACCTGAGCACACTCGAGAATGTTGGAAGAACTGACTCTGGCACCGCAGATCGCAGACAGGGCTAGCTGCCGCTAGCTGCAAACTGAGGATTGCACGACAGAGTCTCGGTCGGTGGGGTGCGTGACCGTCACCTCAGCACAGCTTGCATCACAAAACTAGACCTCGCGACCTCCAATGGCAAAAGAGAGGTCCATGCATGTCCATCCCCATGCATGTCCATGCCCAGCCTGCACCTCTGCTTCTGTAACTGCTGCAGCTTCGGCCGCTGAGGAAGTTTGTTTCATGGCTCCAGCCTGAAAAGAGATGAGCCCAACAGGCCAACAGTGGGCCAACAGGAGCCCAACAGGAGCCCAACATGTTAGTGTGATCAACATTTTGCACAGCTCTCCGTGATTCTCCGTGCCTTGGATCCAAAGAGATCTCCAGGCTGGAACCGAAGCTGCCTGCCATGCCACGCGGGTCATCGGCAAGGCTCTTCATGCAATGGGCGCACAGCACCTTGAGTTTGCGCAACATCCGGAATGCCTCTCAATCTCCTCAGACAAGGTCTTGATGCCAGGCTGCGCTTGATGAGCCCGAACCTGGATGCATCCAAACTTTGTGAAAAGACACCAGACGCTGCAATAAGACAGCGGTGGACAGCAAAGGGCTAGTTCTGTGGTGCGGACGGCTGCCAACATCTCTGGAAATCCCCACTGGTCAATGCTAAACCCAGCCGCCTGCTTCGAGGTTGTTGTAGGAAAACAACAAAGAAACAGAGGCGACTGAAAAGCAACACCTTCAGGGGTGCTTTCCACGCCATCCCCAACAGGCGAGCCACAGCCTTCGCGCGCAGGGAATAAGAGCAGATTTCCATGAAGGTGACTCAAGTTGGACCGCCTCTCTCTTCTTCAGGGCACCCCATCCTCTACCACGAAGGTTGACGAGAGCCTGTCAAGACGTCCCAGTATTTTTCCGAGCAAGACTGAACACCAGAAACATTTGGCTGGCCTTCTGAAAGTCTGTGTGGGTGCTCGCTGACCGCAAAGACCTGCCAACAAAAAGCTCCGAAACAAAGGATACCAAGCTGCTACAATGTCCACGTTCAAAAAGAACAGCTAAGGATCTTTCTCCAAAAGTGTCTTCACCTTCGCCACTGCAAGATCGCCGACAATTCACAGCAAAAATTCGATGGCTATGACGTTGATCAGCACTGAGTGCTCGGCTTCATGTAGCGCCAGGGATTTCGGGGGACCTCTCCTGCCGGACACATTTCCAATTGCATCACCCGGTGACGTTTTTGATGAGTCAACATGTCCTCAGACGCGCAGCCCCGACTTGAAGGGAGGAGCGCTCCCTGGCAGCCATGCTTCAAGCTGTTTGTACTTTGGGCCAGCACGACACTCACTTGTAAGAACAAGATGTACCTGAGCCGCTGCCACACTACCTACTAGACCGAATACTTTGCCAATGCACAGCATCCATCAAAACAAAAAGCAACACCTTCAACTTCAGTTAATACCAGTGGGCTGGCCTTGATGCATCTGACTGGTTGGACTGGGTGGCAGCCGCTGCCTGGGTTGCTACAAATGGGGCACACTTTGCCCAGATCCGTTGTGCTACGCGAGCAATGTTAATGCAATATATTCTATATGACTCATCCTGTGAAACAAAAGGTGGAACCCGCTAATAAACCGCAGACGTCGAGCCGCTACTGAGATCAAAAGCTGGGTCGCCGACCTGACTGGCAGTTTTTTCGAATGCAGAGAATGCTCCACGGCGCCGGCTCATGGGCCTGAAAAATCATCCTTGATGGTTGCAGTCACAAACACCTCAACGCGTGCCTTTTGCAACGACTAAACTACCTGTGACAGATTACCGCGTGCGGAAACAACCTGTGCACATGGTCAAAATGGCACATGCACAAAACTGCACGAAAAAACATATTATGTCCCGCCTCTGCGCCAGTCACAACCACAATCACATGATCTGCCGGATGTTGACATGCACACATTCATGTTGGTGTTTTGCTTTGTATCCACGGGTTGGCTTTCGTGTCTCGGCGCACAAAATGTGATCTGTCAGATGGCGTTTCCCATCATGTCATGTTATCGCATGTGCTGCACAGTCCAGTCTTTGAGCTGTTGACACCACCGCAACAAAGGCAGGCCGAATCATCATCTTTGCACATAAAACTATGCAACCCCAAGCTGCTATCTGAAACATGTCATAAAGCTATACGCCTTTTCATTCGCATGCGAAGTTGAAGGTACAATTTGTCCATCGTGTCTGCATAGTGAGTATCGATCAAGGCCATACTGCCAGATTGCTACGTGCATACTTCTCTCCGGGGCGATTCTTGACGGATGTCCCGGTTGCATCTTTGATGACTCTTGAAATTCGAACTCGCCTCACATCAAGTTTTACACACCACCTTTTCCAAATTCATGGAACTGAAGTCGATCAGGCCTTCGTTTTCATGCAAATCACGCTTGTGTGACAGTCATCACCGACATCTTCCCAAAGCTGGTTAGATTTCACGTTCACTGTCCTGCTGCGTCCTGCAATGCACAAAGGTGGATACTGTTCGAGATCCATAAGCAGACAAGTTAGATAAGGAAAACGATGTTGCAAGGCCATGCAACCAACCCTGACCACTCGAAAATGGGGCGGGTCGATGGGAGGGCCGGGAGCTTGAGCATCAGCAGGAGATTTCATTCATTGCCCATCGTAGCGAGCGATGTAGGTCCACAGGCGTCTTTCTGGATTTTCTGCTTTGACCTGGCTCGTTCTCCTATGCTTCTCATAGCTTGTCAGGTTGAACCCTTTTTTGTCTTTTGACGATCTCCGCCTGTTCTTCTTCTCATTTTTTTTCGACTTTCTGACTCTTCTTTGGAGCAGCCATTGGTTGAGGCCGGAAAGCTGGTACACGTGATCTTGCACGCGGGTGCGAGCAAGAGCGGACCGCGTGAGCGGAAGACGAGACGAAGAAGCCGAGGACGAAAAGCTGCCGGAGGCACACTTCCAAGAAAAAACACCAACAAACACCAACCACAACCACCATCACCATCACCACCACCACCAATGGTATACTCACTAGCGGACCGCTTTGGACAAGCGGAACACGCAGGAAATCTGCCACCATGGCAACGTGGTACCGGACTCCACAAAGCAGCCCAACAGTCTCTTAGGATCCCACATAAGTCTCTTCAAGCCGTTAGAGTGTAGTCAGCAATCAACATTGGACGTGTTGAAATTCTCTGGCTTTTCAAGTAACATTGATCGGCCTTCGTCAACAATCCAGTGGGCGTCTTGGCCTTCCGATGCCTCCATGATTTTCGAGCAATGAAAAATCGAAGAATTTCGAAGAGAGAGTCCAAAGGTACTACAATAGAATGAACAAAAGGAAACCATTTAGAGCTCACGTGTTTTCGTTCACTTAGTTTTTACTATTTACAAAGGTTGTTGATTGGCTTAGCATGAATTACCTCCATTCGTTCATAGTTTTATTATTTCATGGAGCACAAGGTGAAAAGCAAAAGTTCCCCAATATTTGTTATTATAATTGTAGTCTTTTATGCGGGAAAAAATACAACAACAAGGACGTGAATGACAAGAACAATAAATTACCACAAAAACATGCGGTTTCACGGACTTTAATGATCATAAACCAGTCCTTACACCAAATATGTGCGTAATAACAGTTTTCTCGCGGCACAAATAGAAGACAAGCGGTTCTCATTCCACTCATACTGTGTTTGATTACAATTCCAAGAAGTGAATGCAACAAAAGGCCTCTGCAGTAAAGAGCATTGCAAAGTGACGTGAAAAGGTCAACGAAAATGGCTTCTGAACTGTTCTGCACACTCAAAGACGACACTTCCTCAAGCACTGGTATTTATCCCCAAAGCTGATAAAGGTGCTGATAATTGCAGGCCTCTCGATATGCCTAACACTAGCAACAGAATAATTGATTCGGCGGTATACCATCTTAGCGCAGGCCCTTAAAGAATCCATGCATCCTGCCCAGGTGCTCCTTCACCACTTTAAGGAACCGCAATCCAATTACGCAGAGATGCAGCATTATCTTAAGCTAAAGGATGCTCAACACTTGGTTGTGCTGACTGACTTCGTAAAGGCCTTCGAAAGGGTAAATCCTTGGTGGATCCTTGAATGCCTGGTTGCACGGTCAGCACCTGCGTGGATCAAAGCCTATGTTATTCATTTTCTGTTTGGGCGCAGAACACATGAAATCCAAGGCCGCTTTCTTTCACCGATCACCATTCATCAAGGGCCAGCCATGGAAAGAGCGACGTCCGTCGTTCTTTTTTGCCTTGCACTTGACCCGCTTGTAATACGGATGACAATAGTGCCGCGTCCAAAGAACTTTCTTTGGATACGAAAAAGACTCAAGACACCTTTCGGGCCCGCACAATACGCTGGTCTAAGTCCTAAAGCATCAATGTTTTTTTCAATCGGTATCACTAGACATGGCACAGTTTAACAGCAACAGGAACATTTGGGTTCAGGGTGGTTTCAACTCTCAAAAAAGTTGAATGGAATGGAAATTGAGGCTGGGCGACTCTCAAGTCGTTCTGGCCATGATGAGGAGAGGTCAGTGTGATTTTTTTTTCAATGTTAGCAAGAACTGCAAAAACATTGGTTTTCTTTTTGAACTTTGGAGAAATCAAGAAAAGACTGGAAAGAAGCCAGAGTCGTGAAACTTGGACCTTCAGATTTAGCAGCAGACTTATGCACAGCAACAATTTTTTGTTTTGTTCGGTTCAAATTGCCTTTGCCCCTGAACAGAATTTTTCTCTTGCTTTTTGCTCAATGTTTTCTTTGTTTTTTGTTGGAATGATCTCTCGGTTTAGTTGCAAGCTTGAGAAGAGAGTTGTGAGAAACCGCCCTCAACAAAACACCAACAGATCGGGGTGATGAGCCCAGAGGTGGAAACGACCCCTCGTTGGAAACAGCCCGGGGCTGGAACCAGGCTGCTGCTGGAAAATACCCAGGCCCGGAACATGCCGAGAATATTTTTCACAAGCTTCTGCCTGGAACACACCCTTTGCTGGACAATGCCTCGAGCTGGAAGAAGCCCCAGGCTAGAAAACGCCCTGGGCTGGAACCAGCCAGGGGCTGGAAAACGCCCTGGCTGGAACAAGCCCTCGGCTGGAACAAAGCCTTCTGTCTTGCGAAACCATGCAAAAGCCACAATCTCTGTTCTTTCAAGTTTTGGATGACAAAAAGCAACACCAGCAAGCAGGCGTTGCGGTTTTAAAGCCAGCATACCACAATACTGTCAAAACTGCTCTACCCCAACTGCAAGAGTTGATACAACACGTTCTTTTGATCTGGAGGGCTTTGCTCTTTCAGGTTTAGGATGAAAAGAAGCAAAACCAGCAGACACTGCTCTTTCAAAATTGCCAGCATACCACAATACTGTCAAAACCCCTCTGCCCCAACTGCTAAAATTGATAAAGCACGATTTTTCTGATCTCGGAGGCTTTGCTCTTTCGGTTTTGGATGACAAGAAGCAACACCACCAGACGTTGCTGTTTCAAAGTTCTCCCAGCATACCACAATACAATACTGTCAAAGCCGCTCTGCCCCAACTGAAAACTTGAATACAGCATGTTTTTGGGATCCTTAAAGGTTTTTTTCCTTCAGGTCTAGGACGACAAGAAGCAACACTAGCGGGTATTGCCCTTTCAACATTCAGCCAACATGCCGCAAAACTGTTCTTCCCCAACTGCAAGAGTTGATACAGCACGTTTTGTTGATCTCGAGGGCTTCGCTCTTTCAGGTTGAGGATGACAAAAAGCAACACCAGCAAACACTGCTCTTTCAAAATTCAGCCAGCATACCACAATACTCTCAATACCCCTCTGCCCTTTCAGGTTGACGATGAAAAGAAGCAACACCAACAGGCCAAAGCCTGAAGCCTTACCGCCAGAGACTGCCCGGGCCTGGAACCTTAAGTCAAAGACTGCCTGGCCTGGAGCCCTAAGCCAAAAACTGCGCGGCCTGGAGCCTCAAACCAAAGACTGCCCTGAAGCCAAAGTCTTAAGCCAGAGACTGCCCAGCTTGGAGCCCTAAGCCCAAGACTGCCCAGCTCTGCAGCCTTAAGCCAAAGACTGACCGACCCTGCAGCCTTAAGCCAGAAACTGCCCGGCTTGGAGCCTTAAGGTTAGGGGTTGGGGGTGGTTCAGGTACAGGCCAGCCCGACCCCTTTACTATTCTTCAAAACTCAGCGAGCATACCACAAAACTGTCAAAAACGCTCTGCCCCAACTGCAAGAGTCGATACAACACGTGCTTTTTGATCTCGAGGGCTCTGTTCCTTCAGGTTTAGGATGACAAAAAGCAACACCAGCAGACGTTGCTGTTTCAAACTTCTGCCAGCATACCACAGCACTGTCAAACCGCTCTGCCCCAATAGCAGCTGTTGATACAACATGCTTTTTTGATCTTGAGGGCTCTGTCCTTTCAGGTTTAGGATGACAAGAAGCAACACCATTGTTCAAAACTCGGCCAGCATACCAGAAAACTGTCAAAACCGCTCTCACCCAACTGCGATGTTTGATACAGCACGGCTTTTTGATCTCGAGGGCTCTGCTCTTTCAGGTTTAGGATGACAAAAAAACAACACCAGCAGACGTTGCTGTTTCGAACTTCTGCCAGCATACCACAACACTGTCAAACCGCTCTGCCCCAATTGCAATTTTTGATCCAACATGTTTTTTTGATCTTGAGGGCTCTGTCCTTTCAGGTTTAGGATGACAAGAAGCA